TGGCACGCAGCTTCTGAACTCTCGGAGGAACTCAGTTGATTCCTACCTGTTCCATTGTTAAAGAGGTGCAACTTGGTGGACATCACCATGTTCATTTAAATGCGTGAGAAATACAATGTGTGGCGTGTGAGCGGGTGGGAATGCGTGTGTCACACGCTGAATGCGTGAGACTTGAGAGCCCTGAGTCAAGTGCACCAGAAGCAGCTGTCTGCCAGTCCCCAACTCCACCAGCCCCTCACCCAGCCCCAGTGTCCCCACATAAGGAAGAAGGTGAGCAGCTGTGTGTGTTGGATTAATCATAATGATATACTTTATCACAGTCTCAAAACAATACACACAAAAGATAAATCTGTTAGTAAGGAAAATATTAAAATAAAAAAAATTCTGAACACTTTGAATGGTTTAAAATGCATAAAAGTTTTTATTTTGTTAAAATTCAGCTACTACTGAAATAGAATAAGTGCAATAGAAACAGAAGAAAAATATGTTGTGTGTGCAGCGGACTGGGGTGACTGCTCTCAATCCAATAAGAAGGGGAATGCTTGTGAGAATCTATTGCAAATAGTTATATCAAAGGAAGTACAAAGGAAGTATAATTTATTTATGCGGCGTACACTCTACAGAGCCAGGTCCAGGACCCTCTTCTTGTTTATCAGGGAGGAATGTGGAGGAAGAGATGAGAGAGGGCACAGATGAAAGTGAGAGTGCAGAAACACAGGCAGCAGAGAGTGAGGATGAAGATGTTGAAAGGAATTCAGATATGGAGGATGGACTAAATGAGTGTACAGAAAATAGTAACATATAAGTGCATAGTTTTTTTGTAAAAAACATCATAAATTTGGCCTTCTGGGTTGGGGGCCCTGTAAAAAATTTTTTCATGGGGCCCAGAATCCTTGGTGGCACCCCTGTGTGTGTGTGTGTGTGTGTGTGTGTGTGTGTGTGTGTGTGTGTGTGTGTGTGTGTGTGTGTGTGTCTTGCAATACTCTGGGGAAATTGAGGAGCATGTTTCTGAGGTGATTTTACCAGCAATCAGGAATCATCTGAAAGTCAGGAGGACCCTGTAGATGTCTGTCTCTGTGTGTTTTTGTTTAAACATCAAAGAATCCCAGGTCAAAATGGCTTTGTTGATGTATTTTTTTTTCCTCATTCATATTCACACCGTTTTATATGATTGCTAATATATTCTATGCATTTTGTGAGGTAAGAAATCCAGGCCTTCACTGAAATTTCCCTGAAACTTTATCAAATGGCCTGTGGTTGTTAAAGGGAGTCACTACACCTAAAACATATTTTCCCCAGTTTTGAAAGTAAAAGCTTAGCTCCATTAGGTATAACTAGAAAAGGCATTATAAAATGTAATGATTACAGTTTATGCAACTCTTCCATTCTATACACTTCCAATAGACAGGTTTTTGGAATAAAGAAAAAAAAATAGAGGCAAAGTTAGCCTTTAAATTGACCGGTTAATTGAAAGATGAACAAATGAAAAAAAAAAACCAACAGCAACCAAAACGTCACTTTTGGTCCCCTAGATGCTCCAAGGGTTAATGCCTCCTTCCTCTTTGTCCTCTTATTTTTACCATAAAAAAAGAAATAAAAAAATGATCCTTTCTCTTTAACAGAGTTGATAAGATAACAAAGTTGAAGTAAAGAAACTGATAGAACAATAAAATCAAACAGAGAACTGATCACTATCACATCTACTGTGGTCAGACTTTTTCAAATTCCCCCCCAAAAAGGAAAAGTTGATACTCGGCAGAGTCAGTCCTGCTCTCAGAGGGAATTTTTAATGGAGATGACTAACAGTAGAGTTACAGGAAGACATAAGTCCAAATGATCAGGGTTCAGACAGTGACGGACAGTTGAACCACTCAGCAGCACCTCTATGTGGTATCAAAGTGTATTACAAGGCTCAGTTCCTCTCAGAGTGGATGGCAGATTCACAGTGTGCGGTGCAGGAGTTCAGCTCTCTGTTCCACTTCAACCCCTCCTGATGCAAACCAACTAAAACATATGATCTTCATGGATATTAAGTAGCTCAAGCTCCTGCCATCCTGAGTACAGTTTGTAATATGGAAATGTGAGTGATGCACTTTTACAGTTTGTCCCACCAAAAAGTTGTCAAGTTGTGTGATAAGATAAGAACTTCAATTATCCCTGTGTGGAAATTCGATAAAACTTGATTTGATGAACTGGATGTGTCTGAAATGAAACATATGTAGTTAACCCTCAGGTTTTCTGTAGATTTCATTGTTGAGTTGTTGGGGGAGAAAGCTCAAGGATGTCATCAAAAAAGAGCGAGATGTGGTGAACATTGTTCCTCATTTACTTTGAGTTTGTTCAAAAATGAGAAATGGACAGGAAGCTTTGTATTATTATCTAAAAATGTACACAGATGTCACTTGTACATGGCTGTAATCCAAACTGATGGGCTGATTCTCAGAACTCACAAAAAGATATACACTGCAGGCCAAAAGTTTGGAAGCAAGGCCATTACAGGCCGAACAGTTGGGAGTAGCTTCAAGTTTTTGTTCACAATGCTTTTTTTTTTAATCCAGCATGAGTTTTATGTATTTTGGGATGTATTTACTCCATGATCAGATGTTGCTTTCATGGAAATGCACCATTTTACTCCATTTACCTTTAGATATACATTGATGTTAACAGACCATTGCTAAAGTCAGCAAAAGATAATAAGGGCTTAGTTTTAGGGTTGAAAACATTTGCAAGAGTCACAACTTCAGTGCAAAAGCAAAAAAACAAATTACAGTTGGATTATTCACTTCAACTTTTTGCCTTTTGAGAGTCTGCATACAAAAATCCTAATAAATCTCAACTGCGTTCAAACTACCGCAAAAATGGCTAGAAAGAAGCAACTGAGTAAAGAAACAAAAGTACAGATTTGTACATTGAGGAAAGAAGGATACACAGAAAGAGAAATTGCAAAACGCCTAAAGGTGTTTAACAAAGGAGTCCACTACACTCTGAAGAGACTAGAGGAACCTGGAAGTTATGATGATAGAAAAAGGCCTAGATGAAAGAGAGTTACTACAAAATCAGAGGATAAACATAGCATTGTCACTACTAAGAGAGATCGGTGAAAAACAGCACCAAAAATAAGGGAGGAAATCAACATGACAAGATCGAAACCCATATCTCTGACAACCGTGAAATGACATTTGAGAAAGGCTGGTCTGAAGGGTTGTGTATCTGCAAAAAAACACTACTTCATCCACAGTACAAGAAAAAGAGATATGAGACATACCTTAAAAAACTTGTGGAACGAATGCCTGGTATATGCCAGGCTGTTGTTAAAGCCAGAGGAGATTACTTTGAAGAAAGCAAAGTCTAAGCAACAATAACTCAAATACCTAATAATTATAGTCAAAATGTCTTCTGATAAGTTACTCTTTACACAATAGTCATGTTTATTGGGTTGCAAATTATATATATGAAACTATGATCTTTTTTTTTGCACAAATCTGATCTTGCTTCCAAACTTTTGGCCTGTAGTGTACAGCCAGAGGTGTTTCTGCTATGTTTTGTGGTGGATATCAGGCAGCCAGGCTTTTGTCTTCTGCAGACGGGTCAAATTCTCCAGGTTTTGGTTAATCTTAAGAAAGTAACACTGTTGACAAATCTCTCATACAACTGCACTTACAAAGGAATCCCATTCAAAGGTACGTTGAATTAAGTGAAGTCTGTTTGATTACACTGACTGGAGTATGTATAAAAGCCATGTGTTATTGACGCAGTGGGTCCTTGCTCTGGAGGCTGACACATTGAGCTACTATGTTTACTATGGTAGTTCAGAACAAACTAGCAGGAACCAAAGGCAGGTAGTTGATTCCTATGTGGCTAAGTGAGACACTGAAGACAGAGACCGAGACCCAGAGAGTATTTTTTTAATTTATGTGGTTCTCATAATGTTAGCTTTGTTTGGCATTACTTCTCTAATGTCAGCTTGTGACTCAATCAATAAAAGACTCTCAGCTGATATCTCTAAACTGAGCTACAAACTAAAGCTACAAGCTAAAATAATCAACACCTCAGGCCTTGGCCTTGGGAACTGCTGAATTACCTGCTTCTGTTGTTGATGACACCACCTTTGTTGCATAAATATCTTTTGGTCCTTGATGGCCATCGCTGTACAGTGATTGATGAGACGATCTGCAGAATCATATTTGTGTTTGTTAAGTTCAAGTTTATACAAATCAAGTTTTATGGTGAGTCACTCAGTCTTTTTCTATTTTCTGCTACTTTAGTGTTGGATGTGATAAAACAGATTTACACCTCGGTCATTCTCTGAGATACACGTCCACAGCTGCATGTTGGTGTAATGAACAGATTTCTGTTTGTGACAATTAATGACCCGACACACTGTGAGATGATCAGCTGAAATCTTTTTACTTTTCTGCTTTACAAAAGAAGAAGAAACAGCAAATGTGAATTTCAAAGACTATTCTCTCTCTCTCCTTGGCGTGGGAACCAGCTCCATCCTCTTCTTAAGCAGCTGCAGTATGATCAATGCTAAAATTAAAATACAGTCTATTCAGATTACATTTGCCTCTGACAGACAGTAAAAAAACAACTGAAGCTTTAACAAAACAGCAAAACCCACAAAAGGAAGCAAGGAGATTTTCATCTCATGTTAAATGGACATGTTGCTTGTGGAGGTTTTGTTATAAAATTATATTTGTCATGTTGATAAACTTTTTGTTATTGCTAAACATTCATTACTTCACATCAGTTCTAACATGTCATTTGGTTATCAAAAAACTTTTCTCTGACAGGTTTGAAGTTTCTCTCTAAAACATATGTAAATGTGATTTTAAGGAGAAACGTCCATGAAAAACATCCTGTTACAACATGAAAATGTTTCAATCTATAAAAGAAATAGTTCCTGTTCTAACAAAATCTGAAAATGTTGGGTTTGTGGTACAGACATACACACTCTGCTGGGATCCTCTTCAGGGTTGGGGACAGGTTTTTGTACATGATTAAAAAGCACTCATGATGATGATGATGATGGTGTGTGTGTGTGTGTGTGTGTGTGTTTGTGTGTGACAGTTTTCACAGTTGATTGGCACCATTTTTGCAGCTTCAGTCCAGCAAACGTCCGAGCTGCTGGTGCAGACTGACTCCTGCTGCAGTCTGTCTCTGGCTTGTTTCTCCTGCGTGGGTTGAATGGCAGTAGTGGTTTGATGGTCCTGAAAGTCGGCTCTTGGAGCAGTTAGCTCTGCTGACAGTCTGGACTCTGTGTGCCCTGCCCTGATGAGGACGAGCATCACAACAACTACAGCAACAACAACAACAAGGCACTGGTAGACACGGATGCTGAAGGAGGAGGCAGGGCAGAGTACAAGGGAGAGGGGTCCTCTGTGCATTGGCTCCTCCACCCCTCTGGGCTTCAGGACCACGCCCAAGTCCTCAAGGTGTACAATCAGCTATCTGCTGTCCAGAGGCCACACCCATCACAGTGTCTGTGTGGCTCTGTGAGGTGGCAATCAGTCTGTCCGAATCTGAGACTGATCATCGATGTGCAACTGAAAAAAGAAAAAATCAGAAGTCTGTTTCCCTGAAGATTGTTTAATGAGATTTGGCACACTGGGGTTCTACATTATTGGGTTAGACTGATCACAGTGGTCACAGTGTCCAGCAGTCTCATGGATCCACACTGCAGAATGTAGATCACCATCCATCCAGAGTACCTACAGAGAAGTGAACAGACTGGGGATCACAATTTTTTCCTTACTTTTGAAGATTTAGGTCTTCTGAATTTTACAGCTTTCCCAACATATTCCTGTTTATTCATGTTTTCACCCCCCCCCCCCCCCCCCCCCAAAAAAAAAAAAAAAAAAAAAGGAAAAAAGAAAAAAACAAACAACAACAAAAAATACATCAAAAAACAAAACAAACAAAAAAAAATACAGGCTTTAAATGAAATTATTCACAGTTTTGAATTCCTAAGAGCTCCCTTGTCAGTCTCTCTAACAGGCTGCCAGTTCCTTTTCCACAGTCCAACAGAGGGTCTGCTCACACTCCTCCATTATACTGAAATTATCCTCTCGACCTGCCAAAGTCCCAAATCTGTTAACACTGACCGGGGCAGAGTTATGACACAGTCACCGGGGTAAGTTCCCAGAGATTGGACAGTGAAGGAACACTTTATATGAAACCACCTCTTATAATGCATCATAAGCACATTTATAAAGGCCTAGAAATGCATCTATAAGGATTTATAAAGATCCTTATCCATCCACTCACAAATCCATCAGTCTTCTGGTCCTGGTTCTTTTTGTCAGTCTTGTAGTTTCATCCTTAAATAACTTAATATAGTAGTAAATATGGTTTGCTCCTCAGTAGAGTTTAAATGAAGGTCCAGTGAATTTTTGAAATTTTCAAATTAATCTATAGGAACAAAAATTGAGAACAGTAAACTTCAATTTCACTTTGGATATTTTAATCATTTTACCTGTGCAAAAAAAGCTTTAATCTGATGGATGCTCCGGACATGATCTGTTCACTTCAAACCACTCATCGATACATCTGAAAGAAAGCAGAGGGTCAGACATGAAAAGAATGATCTTAATAAGGAAATCCTCAGAATCTTTGTTCTTGAGTGACACCAGGTAGTGAAAGATGATCACTTCAAATGGAAATCTAACCTCTTTTGTCTGCAGTTTTGGCCAATATTTTCTGAACTAACTGTAGGTGCCATATGCAGAAGTGGTTAGGTTTGTGTGTGTTGACATCAACTGTCTGGGCTGCACCTTTCATGCACGTCACGAGGGGGTGTGGTCAAGGCGCGATGATTGAATGATTGAATGAATGGACATATAGTCACCTGGGTGCTGCGGCGGCTGCATGGAGAGGGGGTGAGTAGGGAGAGCGTATTTTTTGTTGACCGCTTGATTTAAACATCAAACTAAGCCCATAGATCATCTTGCCTTGCCTTGCCTTGCCCTGTCTGTCTGTTTGTGCGGCGTTGGAAATAAATGTGAACTCAGTCGGAAAACACGGAAATGGCTTGTGGTTTGTGTAGCGAGTCACCAATGCGGAAGCTCCCTCACTTAGCCTCTCAGTGACTTTGTTTTCGTTCCTAGTCACTATATTTTGTCAACAAAAAAGGAGTACCAACACCCGAACGGCATATACGGACGCGATCACGCCACACGGTGTCTAACTGCAACGCCAGACTGATCGCAACGTGGACTTCAGACCGGTAGGACTGTATCACTCGCATCCATTCATTCTGTGTATGTTGGACGGAACGCAGTTTGATTACAGCGCATACAGCGCATCCATTGGGGAGCGCTGTGCGTGTGTGAAAGTCCGCTGAGACAGCCTGTCCTGCTCGTTGAGAGTAAATACCTGTGGTGTTTTCCGATGTTAATTGATGTGAAACAATCTGTGGAAAAATAAAACTATGCTGGGTGTATTGTGGATTCACTGCGCGAACCACTGAACTGCCGAATCTCAAAAGGACAATATGAGTGAAGCCATGGAACAAGTGGAAAACAATGAAACTGTGGTTGCTAAAAGGAATGTGAAACTTACTGCAAAAGCATTGGCATATAAAGTGGTAAATCTACAAAATGAACGTAAAACACATGTGAATAAAATAAAAGGCTTAATACCTGCAATGAAAGAGCTGATGAAACGAAAGGAAAATGTACAGGAAGTGAAATCTCAGTTGCAAACTATTACTCAGCTCCTTGATACTGCTATCAACCTGCATCAAACAATAATTCCACTGTTACCTGAGGATGAAAAACTTAAACAGAATGATTGGTTCTCCAGTATTGAACGTTACAGCAGTACATTCAAGGATGATGTGATTCAGTGGTTGGATGAGAATGAACATGTTCTAAATATCGTGGATAATGATGAGGCTGCAGCAACAAAGCATGTGTGTGACCCTCAAATAGATGATGCTTTACAGGCAGCAGCACAGGACACAGGCCCCATCACACCTTATGAAGGTCTACAGGATGACGTGAACCCAAGTGATAGCATATCAAATGTGCAAAGCAAACGATCTGCAAAAAGTGCTGTGAGTGGAAAAAGCTCTGGGAGTGGTAAAAGGTCCAACGTATCAGGAACTTCTTCTGCTCGCATCAAGGCAGAAGCTGATTTAGCTGCACTGATGGCACGGCAAAAACTTTTACAGGACAGACATGCACTGGAAGAGGAGGAGCAGCAAATACGGAAACGCAAGGAAAAGCTCAAGTTGGATGAAGAGATTGCTGCACACTTGGCTAAAGTGAGCGTTCTAAGGGCTGCAAGCATATCTGGTTCGAAAAGTACTACAACGGACAGGTCCAATGCAATGAGTTCCTACGTTAAAAATGAACAAGAAACAACAAAGTTCAATGTCAATGCCACTCCTTTCATTCCTCTGAGGCTGGAAACATCTAAACAGCAATCGAAAATCATGGACCGTGACCCTGTGACAAGGCCTAAATCAGATGGCTCGACCCATGCTGCTCACTTTCAGCCTCCCACTTTAAAGAGCCACTTACCTGATTTTAATCCTCTGCTCAATGCTCATAATGATCACTTACATCATGGAATCAGTCTTAATGTTGGGGATTCAGCAAGTCATGGGGAGCAAAACAATGTCCTTGATATCATGAAAAGACAGAATGAAATCACAACACTACTGATACAACAGCAGCAACATGCGCTCTTGCCTAAAAGAGATATCCAGGTGTTTGATGGTGACCCACTGCAGTTCCATACGTTCCTGAGAGCCTTTGAAAACTGTATTGAAAGCAAGTCCAACAGTCATAGTGATTGCCTGTACTTCCTCGAGCAATACACTAGAGGTCGTCCAAGAGATCTTGTGAGAAGCTGCCAGCATATGGACCCTAACAGGGGCTATGCTCAAGCTAAAATCCTATTACAAGAACATTTTGGGGATGAACAGAGGGTTGCTGCTGCTTATATGGACAAGGCATTGTCATGGGCTCCAATAAAATCAGAGGACGTTAAAGCTCTCCAAGATTATAGCCTATTTCTCAGAGGCTGCGCAAATGCGATGAACGAAGTGCAGTATATGTTCGAAATGGATATGCCTGCTAACATGCTGACAATAATAAAAAAACTGCCTTACAAGCTGAGGGATCGATGGAGGACAACTGCTTGTGAAATACAAGAAAGACGTAACCAAAGGGCTACATTCAATGATATTGTCCATTTCATCGAAAGGCAAGCAAAGATTCTAACAGACCCAGTATTTGGAGACATTCAAGACTCATCACCAGCAGCAAACAGAGGCATGAATCGAACCAGCTTAAAACCTAGATCTCGGCCAAAGGGAAGTAGTTTCGCTACAACAGTGACTACTGTACAGCACAATTACACAGCAACAAAAGGAAGGAGGCCAGACACAACCTCATCAGCCAAGAAAGTCTGTCTGTTTTGTGAGGGTGGGCACATGTTGGAGTATTGCTCTCGAATGGAGAAGATGACTCACACTGAAAAGATCACCTTTTTAAGGGAAAAGGGAATATGCTTCGGCTGTTTGTGTATAGGACACATCAGCAAGGACTGTCGAAAGCGTCTATCATGTAAAGTGTGTAGTTTGAAACACCCCACAGTGCTTCACATCCATTCAAAGGAAAAGGACCCAGTGACAGAAGAAGAACCAGGCGCCGCAGTGGGCTGTGCTCTGGTATCTAATGGGCTGACTGGGGCTGGTGGCCATGAGTGCAAGCTTCCTATAGTTCCAGTATTGGTTAAATCCAAGAAAGGTAATCATGTAGTGGCTACTTATGCCTTCCTGGATCAAGGTAGCACGGCTGTTTTCTGCACAGTAAACCTCATGAACAAGCTCAACCTCTCAGGAAAAAGGACAAGAATCCTTTTGCGGACAATGGGTCAGGAGAAGGTCGTTAACAGCTGTGTGGTCACTGGACTGGAGGTGGCCGGTTTGGACGGAGAGACGTACTGTGATTTGCCCAACACCTATTCACAGGAGTGCATGCCGGTGCATAGAGGAAATATTCCACGTCAAAAGGATCTCGAGAGGTGGGCATACTTGAGAGATGTTCACTTACCTGATATCGACTCCGAAGTTGAGCTGTTGATTGGAACAAACGTACCAAGGGCACTGGAACCATTACAAGTCATCCGTAGTGTGGACAATGGACCGTATGCCATCAAGACTATTTTGGGTTGGACTGTTAATGGGCCACTGGGGGGAAACAGTGGTGATGGAATGGATGTTGCGACCGTTAACAGAATTTCAGTCCTGAACTTGGAGGAGCTCTGGCAGCAGCAGTTCAGAACAGATTTCCCAGAATGTGGCTACGATGAGCAACCTGGCCAGTCAAGAGAGGACCAAAAGTTCATGAAGTTGGTCCAGGATTCAGCCAAGCTTGTAGATGGTCATTACCAGATTGCATTGCCCCTGCGAAGCTCCGTGACCATGCCAAACAACAAGAAGGTTGCCGAGCAGCGTGCTCTAAACCTGAAGAGGAGGTTCAAAAGGGACTCGTTATTTCATCAGCAGTATACTGATTTCATGAATGATATGGTCACCAATGGATACGCAGAGCAAGTACCTTCAGATGAGCTGGCACGTACTGATGGAAGATTGTGGTATATCCCACACCATGGTGTGTATCACCCTCAAAAAGGAAAAATCCGTGTGGTTTTTGACTGTGCTGCCACTTTCCAGTCAGCATTTCTCAACGCTCAACTGCTGCAAGGGCCGGATCTCACTAGCTCGCTGATTGGCGTCCTGGCCAGATTCCGGAAAGAACCGGTAGTGATCATGGCAGACATAGAGTCCATGTTTCACCAAGTAAAGGTGCCAAGGGAAGACGCTGATCTACTGAGGTTTCTCTGGTGGCCCAACGGTGACTGCACCCAAGATCTGGTAGACTTCAGAATGTTGGTACATCTTTTTGGTGCAACGTCCTCACCAAGTTGTGCTAACTTTGCATTGAGGAAATGTGCTAAGGACAATGAAGAACAGTTCTGCCGAGAGACCACTGAGAGGATTCTGCACTGCTTTTATGTGGACGATTGTCTGGTGTCGACGGCCAGTGAGGAAGAAGCAGTGGCACTGTATCATGACCTGGTCTCTGTATGTGCCAAAGGAGGCTTTAAGTTGACCAAATGGATGAGCAATAGCCGTGCAGTGATGGCAGCAATTCCAGGGGACCAAAGAGCTAAGGGCATGAAGGACCTGGATTTGGACCATGACCTGCTACCAGTGGAGAGGGTGCTCGGGGTGCAATGGTGCATCCAGTCTGATGTCTTCAAGTTTAGAATCCTGGTGCAGGACAGGCCCCTGACAAGGAGGGGGATCCTCTCTGTCATCAGTTCAGTATATGATCCTCTAGGAATCTTGAGTCCCATTGTTCTTTCTGCCAAGATCATCCTGCAGGAGCTGTGTAGGCAAAGACTCGGTTGGGATGACCCTATACCACCATCAGCTGCACAGGAATGGACGAGCTGGTTAGAGGAGCTCCATCAGTTAGAGCACTTCCAGGTTTCGCGGTGCCTTAAACCCCCAGACTTTGGTGAGGTCACTGTGGCGCAACTGCACCATTTTACAGACGCAAGCAATAATGGTTATGGTGTAGTGACCTACCTTCTCCTGCGGAATGCATGTTCCCAGATGCACAGCAGCTTTGTCATGGGAAAGTCCAGGGTGTCTCCTTTGAAGCCGGTCTCAATACCCCGCATGGAGCTCACAGCTGCTACAATGGCAAGCCGTCTGGACACCTTTTGGAAAAAGGAGTTGCACATGTCATTAATAGAGTCAACGTTTTGGACTGACAGCACCTCTGTGCTGAAGTACATCAGGAATGAGACTTCCAGGTTCCGTACCTTTGTCGCCAACAGGGTAGCAGAAATACTCAAAGTGTCAGATCCATCGCAGTGGAAGTATGTAAACACCCTAAGCAATCCTGCAGATGTGGCCTCCAGGGGACTGAGGGTTGACATGTTCCTGAGGAACAAGGCGTGGTTGTCAGGACCTGCATATCTCCTGCAACCTGAGCGAGACTGGCCTGTGAGTCCAGATTGCTTGGGCGAACTCCTGCTGAACGATCCAGAAGTCAAGGCCAGTGTGGCAGTGAATGCAGTGCAGGCCTCAGAGGATGTGGATGCAACCACTCAACTAATCCATCATTTTTCCTCTTGGACCCATCTGAGAAGGGCTGTGGCTTGGTTTCTCAGGCTAAAAAACATGCTGCGGGGTCTCAGCCAGAAGAGGACTGACTCTGCGTCCACTCAGTCGGAGTCAGGGAAACAACAAAGACCGTCCTCGGAGCTTGGAAAAGGAGGGTTCAAAGACCTGGCACCGAGAGGTTTCCTCACGGTAGACGAGTTGCAGGTAGCTGAAAAGGAAATCATCAGGTTTTGTCAGAGGAAGAGGTTTCCTGATGAACTCTCTAGTTTGCAGAAGGGCGAAAGTGTGAAAAGGAGAAGTCACATCTTCAAGCTCGCTCCTGTGTTGGAGGATGGTATCCTGAGGGTTGGTGGTCGGTTGAGCCGAGCAGCCTTACCTGAAGACGCAAAACACCCTGCCATTCTGACCAAAGAGCTCCACATTTCAGACGTTCTCCTGAGACACATACATCAACAAGTTGGTCATGGAGGACGCAACTACATGTTGTCCAAACTACGTGAAAGATACTGGATTCCTGGGGTCAGCACAGCCATAAGGAGAATTTTGTCAAAGTGTGTTGTCTGCCGCAGGTTGCAAGCTGCCCCAGGGTGTCAGCTGATGGCTGATCTTCCTGTTGACAGGGTCTGCCCAGACGAACCTCCATTCACCAGAGTCGGTGTGGACTACTTTGGACCATTCGAGGTTAAGAGCCGGAGGAGCATTGTAAAGAGATATGGAGTCATGTTCACCTGTTTGGCAATACGGGCTGTTCATATCGAAGTGGCTCCTTCGCTGGATACAGACGCCTTTATTAATGCACTACGACGATTCATGGCAAGACGTGGCCAAGTCCAAGAAATTCGATCAGACAATGGAACGAACTTTATTGGAGGAGAGCGTGAGCTGAGAGAGGCTATCAGAGGTTGGAATCAAGCTCAGATAAATGGTGTTCTTCTTCAGAAGGAGGTGAAATGGATTTTTAACCCCCCAGCTGGATCGCACCATGGTGGTGCCTGGGAAAGGTTGATCAGATCAGTGCGCAAGGTCTTGAACTCCATCTTGAAAGTTCAAAATCTGGATGAGGAGGGATTACACACTGTCCTCTGTGAGGTGGAAGCAGTCATTAACGGCCGTCCAATTACTAAGGCCTCAACCGACCCTAACGACCTCGAAGCTCTGACGCCTAACCATCTCTTGCTGTTGAAAACCTCTCCTTCCCTGCCACCTGGGCAGTTTCAAAGAGACGACATCTACGCTCATCGACGCTGGAGGCAGGTCCAGTACATGTCTGATTTATTTTGGAAGCGATGGACTAAGGAGTATTTGCCACAGTTGCAGGAACGTCAGAAGTGGACTGGTATCAAGCGCAACTTTGTAGAAGGGGACGTTGTGCTTATTGTGGATGAAACAGCACCACGGAACTCGTGGGTCATGGGAAGGGTTATCCAAACCTTCCCAGACAGAAGAGGATTTGTGCGACGGCTGCAGATCAAGACCAAGACCAGCTCCTTGGAAAGGCCCATAACCAAAGTCTGTCTTCTGCAGGAATCGGATGCCTGACTCTTCCGTTCTGGAAGGATAGTTTGATTGACTTTACTGACCGACAGCACGACATGACTTTCCTCCGTGAAGCTGTGTGTCTGAACTTTTGAACTTGGCTAGACTTGACTTGTGTTCCAGGAAGAAGAGCACATTGATGAACTGTATTGATGGACTATTACAAGAACATTGGTGGATTTCGTGGTTCGTTTATTTGTCATAGTGTAATTATTATAATGGTAATAATTAGGGGCTGGGTTGTAGGTGCCATATGCAGAAGTGGTTAGGTTTGTGTGTGTTGACATCAACTGTCTGGGCTGCACCTTTCATGCACGTCACGAGGGGGTGTGGTCAAGGCGCGATGATTGAATGATTGAATGAATGGACATATAGTCACCTGGGTGCTGCGGCGGCTGCATGGAGAGGGGGTGAGTAGGGAGAGCGTATTTTTTGTTGACCGCTTGATTTAAACATCAAACTAAGCCCATAGATCATCTTGCCTTGCCTTGCCTTGCCCTGTCTGTCTGTTTGTGCGGCGTTGGAAATAAATGTGAACTCAGTCGGAAAACACGGAAATGGCTTGTGGTTTGTGTAGCGAGTCACCAATGCGGAAGCTCCCTCACTTAGCCTCTCAGTGACTTTGTTTTCGTTCCTAGTCACTATACTAACACTCAGTTCTTGCCTATCCGTTCCCTCTTCTGTATTTCTGGGTTAGATGAACTTCCGGGACCTTTTGAAAGTTTTATTTAGACAAAGAGGCATTGGATGAGCACAGGCTGTGGATGTTCTCCCACACAGAGAACCAATCTCTGTCATGTCAGTTTTGGTTATTCTTACCATCCTCTACAGGAGCTGTTTCTGGATTGACTCTACTATGTTCCATAAATCAAACTCAGATCAGTCTGTAATCATTATCATGCTGTTCTTGTCAATAATCCTTGTTCCATTATCTCTGTCACTGTGAACAAACATCTGAAGGTACTGTTGTTGTAATGTCTTTGTCCATGGGCTCTTTTTTTTGTGCCTGCCTGTGGCGTGGCGGAGGGTTGCGCACCCCGTGCAGTAGTAGTTTCATCTGGCAGAGCCCAGTGCAGCTCGTTTGGTATTTTCGTAGATCGAGGAACACTGAGGTCCACCAAGCTGGGCGTGGTGACGCGGTAAGGGGAGGTGTCGACAGAATCAGCTGGTGCAGTGACATTTTCGTACTTGGTGTGGAAAGTGCACTGAAAGCCCGCCGATTGAAACCTGGTCAGCTTTCAGCGCAGGCAGAGCGCAGCTGGTCTAGTGGTATTTTGGTAGACTGGCGGCAAAGTGTGCATACATCACAGATGCCTCACCGGCAGGTTTCCACAGTGTCAGGCACATTTCAGTGCAATGTATAATCAACAACAACCAATATTCAGTGCAACTATCTGAGTCAGCACATACATTTAGATCTATATCGATATATCCTGATCTATATCTTATCTTATGATCATGTTTGGCATGCATTTGGACACTCAACATGACTGAATTAACACAGATGAAACTGCATTAAATTAAATATCCAGTAAATAGTCACACATGATAAAGTAAACAAGATATTGAATTCGTCTCCTGCCCCCTTTCTCTCTTCCTCTGCTTTCTCGCACAGCTCGACCCGGACATGTCTCCATGTCCTCTCTCCACTCCTGCTGCTGCTGTGGCGACAGGGCTTTCCGCGACACACTTGTTAAGGGGCTGCCTTCTGTCACCATCGTATGGCGTATGGTGTTGCTGTCCTTAGTCATCTCTTTTACTACTTAACAAAATTTGATATACGCCTCGACGGTGGCGGATTTAAAGGTGAGGAGAGGAGCTGATGTGATTGGTGAAAACAGGACTCGGCTGACCCACCTCATGCCTTACCCCCTCCCTCTTTGCTACTTACGCTGCTGGAAAGAACTGAGTTAGGGACTAATGCTGTGCCTTCGCCGGTTTTTGGCGAAGGCCGCTGGCGTGGCACAAAAATAGAGCCTCATCTCTCTCTTTCTTCATCTCCCTCTATCAGTCTCTCCTCTGTCCATCTCTCTCAATTTCAGTTTCAATAAGGCTGATTGGCATGACTGTTATAATAATATTGCCAAAGCATTAAAATACTAGTACAACAACACAACATTAACATCAATAACAACAACAACAACAATAACATAACAATAATGAACAAATAGTGTTAGTAGTATTATGTTGTTGGTCAAACTCAAGAGCAGCTGTTCAGGTTATTTTAAGCAGCTCTTCTTCTCTTTTTTGATGGCATGTATTCACATATTTTGCTGCTTCTAAAGCAGTGGCCCTTTGCTCTCTTAGAAGATGTCTTTACCTTTCCTGGTCTGTGAGTTGGGTGAAGCTGGGTGTTTATGTGTGTTTAGTGTATGTGTGTGTGTCCTGATGTGTGTGTATGTGTCACAGTGCAGCAGGAAGTGCTGCTCTGTCTCCAGCTGTGTGTGAGGACAGAGCCGACACAGTTGCTCCTCTCTAGGCAGCCAGGTCTGCCTGTGGCAGCCGCTTTCTATGGCCAGGCTGTGGTTGCTGAGTCTGTACACAGTCAAGGTTCTCCTCTTCTTTGGGGTCAGTTACTGAACTCAGGTAATCTGCCATGGAGTATTGTCTGTTAAGGGCCAGATAGCATTGAAGTTTGCTTTGGGTTGCGGTTGTAGATGTCCAATAGTTAATGTAGTTGTCTTTTTGTTTTTATATAATTTGGTTGGGGGGCCGGATTGCGTGAGGGCGGTCTTGGTGCTCGTGGAGCTGAGCCTGTGGACCAGCTGGCTGAGGGGGCTCCCGTGTCTGTTCTTCTCTTGGTTCTGCAGGGCTTTGTAGTGGTAGGAGCTGGGGCGGCTGGCTTTGAGGTGTTGGTAGAATTTGATTGCCCTTTTTTGGATCTGAATTCAAAGGGCTGTGTGTAGCTGTGTGTGTGTCGTATGTCTGTAGAGTCCAGGAGGAACCGGTGTTGGTCTTTCTGACACTTGGGTCATTTCTGAAAAACCATGACTTGTCTTGTCTGGGTAAGGGCCCAGGTCAGACAGAATTCTTGTAGATGATCTAATTGTTTTTGCAGAGCCTCCTTAGATGGAGCGAGCAGGATTAGATCATCTGCAAAAAGTAAGCACTTGACTTGTGTGTCAGAGAGAGTGAGACCGGGGATGTCTGACTCTTCCAGGGATTTGGCCAAATCATCAATATAGATATTGGAGAGGGTGGGGCTGAGACTGCAGCCCTCTACTTTGGGAGAAGAAGTCTGTTTCCATGGTTCCAATTTTCACCATGCATTGATTATTTATGCACAGTTTTGATTATATCATAGATTTTTCCCTCAATACCTTTTTCAGAAATAGGCCTTGATGCCAAATTGAATGGAATGCTTTTTTGAAATCTACAAAACAAGCAAAGATTTTGTTTTTGTCCTGGTGAACATGTTCTGGATGAGGGTGTGGAGGGTGTAGATTTGGTCAGTGGTTCTGTGTTGGGGTGTAAATCCAAAGTGACTCTTGTTCAGGACATGGTGCTCACTGAGGAAGTTTTGCAGATGGCTGTTAACGACGCTGCAGAATAACTTCCCTAGGTTGCTGCTGACAAATATGCCTCTGTAGTTGTTGGGCTCATACTTGTCTCCACTTTTGTGGGATTGGAGTGATTATTCCTTGGCTCCAGGTGTCTGGAAAATGTCTGATGATCAAAATAAGATTGAATAATTTCAATAAGGCAGTCCTGAGTTTGTGGTTGCTAAACTGATGCATTTCATTTAGGATGCGATCCAGTCCACTTGCCTTCCTTGGATGCACAGCCTGGATCTTGGTCAGCAGCTACTCTTCATTAGTAACATATTCTAGAGGGTTTTGATTGTCTTTAACAACTGATTCAAGGGCTTCTAATCTGTTTAGCAGATTATTTGGGGCTGAATCCAGAGGGATTGCACCGTATTGATTTTCAAAGTGTTTTTTCCAAATGTCACCATTTTGAATAGCCAGTTCTTCTTTGTTAAATTTCTTAAATGAATGCCATTTTTTCCAAAAATTATAGGAGTCAATAGACTCTTCAATTTCTCCTAGGAGGTGCTGCGCATGTTGTTTCTTTATAGTGCTCAGTGTTTTTCTATATAACTTCGGTGATTCCCAGTAACGAAGGCGGAGCTCTAGATTATCAGGTTGCCAGGTTTTTGTTTTTTTTATTGGATAATTTACGGAGTGTTTCTCTCAGAGATCTGCAGCCAGAATCTGACAACTTTTCATCAGTTGATTTGTTTGAACCATGATGCTTAGATTTGTTTAGATTGGATAGAGATGCTGTTTGGTCAAATATATTGTTAATACCCCCAACAGCCTGATTGAGGCCATCATTACTTGGCCTCAAGTAATTGCTCTCTGATCATCATCTTTGCTATGACTTGTCCACCTGTAAGGCTGTTTGGAGCGGTTGAGCCTACTGGGCTGTGCTACATGTGAATGCCCTAAGACAGAAGGGGTCTAGGTCTAATATAGTCTACTGTGCTGTTGCCAAAAGCAGAGCTGTGTGCGTGTGTGTGAAGAGACCGATGGAGTCCCCTCGAAGCTGACAGTTGACTATGTACAGACCCAGTGTGCGACACATCTGCAGCGTCTACGGCACAACACCTATTGAGCTGCGTGAGGAAGAAGGAGAATAAGCGGGGAGACAAATTAAATATTTTGTTAACTTCATCATGTGTGACTGTTTACTGGATATTTAATTTAATGTGGTTTCAGCTGTGTTGATTCGGTCAGGTGGAGTGTCCAAACGCGTGCCAAACACTACAGATCTAAATGTGCTGATTCAGACAGTTGCACTGAATAGTGGTTGTTGATGATTATTTATTGCACTGAAATGTGCCTGACACTGTGGAAACCTGCCTGTGAGGCATTGGTGACGTAAGCGCAATACGCCGCTGGTCTACCAAAATACCTCTAGACCAGCTGCACTCTGCCTGCACTGAAAGCTGACCAGGTTTGAATTGGCAAGCTTTCAGCGCACTTTAGACGCCACCGGCGAGCATGAAAATGTCACTGCGCTAGCTGATTCTGTTGACACCTCCCCTCACTGCGCATCCACGCCCAGCTTGGTGGACCTCAGCGCGGCTCAGTCTACGAAAATACCAAACTGGCTGTGCGCCAGGCTCCGCCAGATGAAAATACCACTGCATGGGGTCCGCCACCCTCCGCCGCATCGCCGGCAGACACGAAAATAGAGCCCAATGTGTAAGTATAATAATCTAATGAAGGACAATTTCCTTCACACTGAGTTTATTGTTTGATTGATGCATTTCAGGACAAAACAAGAAAAAAGACATTTGGCCAAAAGAGGCCACTTGAACAGCACTGGTCATTGGCTGCATTCATTAACTCAAGCCTAAACATACAAACAGGATATGTGTGTGTACATTTACATGGCAGTTAAAAACTAAAACGCAAACTAGTAATTTATACGTTCTTCTTCCACTTTTGAATGTCAGGAGTCCCTTTCCGTTTTTGTCAGAGCTCATCTACTTGTTGTTGGTTGTGTTACATTTGATAATATCAAACACGTTGAATAATATCGCAAACCCTATAAACACTTGTCTTTAAATGTGAGCAGGTGTGAGCTGATAGTTTTCCAGGAGTTTTTTTTCCAAATTTTCTCATCTCCGGTGGATAGCTGGCCTTACGCTGGGCGTCCACCAAAAAATTTTCACAGTCCCAGACTAAAAGCTGGAAGTTTTAAGTAAATCCTGAAGTTATCCTGGAGTTACAGCAGAGTCACAGTGCGCTCCAGTCATCACAATTGTTCACTTTGAGGTGGTGATCTGCTCTGTTTCATATCAGTCATTTCCTAGTCCTGAGTTTGTGGTAATATCAAATGTGCTTGGTTTAGTTGATAATTTCAAACATGTTCAGTATCAAATGTGTTTGATATTATCATCCAGCTTCACCCAACTCACAGTTTTTTTAAGAGCTACCTCAAACTCAGTATGTCTCTAGATGTGAGCAGGTGTGAGCTGATAGTGTTCCAGGATTCTTTTCCAAATCTTCTCAAATGCCTCTGATGTATAGATGGCATAAGACAACACAAGTTAAAGGCTTCTTACAGGAGATTCAATGGACCTTTGGATGCTGACCGCTGTTTTTAGATACACTTGATCTATTATTTAGGATACAGTGGTCCCCTTAATGCTTTAGTCATCATCACTCAGGTGTCTTTTCCCCTTTACTCCTTGAATGTGCACTCTGGAATTTTGTACAATCAGAGGTCAAACACCATCATAATCCTCCACCTGAACTTTACAATTATTTCTTTCTCTATACTGGAGGAGCTATACAGACATCTGTCTTTCACATATTTAGGGAATAAATAAGGACATGAGAGATGCAGAATTTGCCTACACAGAGCTTCATACCCTTTATGATAGATGCAGAGGCAGGGAAGGCGAGCGATGGTGTCTCCCTGTGCCAGATCCTCCAGGCAGATTGCACATTCTCCAGCATCCTTGGTCAGGACATCCTCTGTGGGACACAGACACACAGCAACAGTGAGGATTCAATGCCCATCATATCACTGCCGAACAGGAACTAAACTACATCTTTTCATTATATCTATGCTGTTTTATGAAATACAAGTTAAGATCTGCACCTTAATTTACCAGAAACAGATCTTTAGTTGAGTTTGTAAAAGAGGCTTCATCTTACCCAACATAAAAAAGGTACCATATGACACCTCAAACTAGGGCTGCACGATATATCGTTCGAGCATCGTCATCGCAATGTACATATGTGCAATAGTCACATCGCAGAGCCTGCGATGTCGGAGGTGAATGAACTCATCTAATTTCAAGGGTAGCCGACTGAGATACACTGCAATTGACTCTGCATGTGCTGTGCAGCGATCCACCAATCACCTTCATTCTTAACTCAGTTGTCAATCACACTACCCTGCCAGCTGTCAATCAAAATCACAGAGGCGGAAACCACACCCCTGCACATGGAGTGAGTCGCTGGCTGCTGGTGTTGAGCCGAGAAATGCATGTCCACTGAAAATTACTTCGGAACTTTACTCATGACTGTTAAGCCCAACAAATAAGAACTGTATGGGTTTTACAATGTATATTTCCGTGGACCACTCTACTATAAGCGGTGCGCATTTTGCGAGATGCATGCAATTCTTGGAGGACATGCGTTTCTCTGCAAAACACCGGTAACAACAACAACAACGATTGCAAATGAGCAACGAACAAGAGAAAACCACCGAAAATGAAGATTTGTTGCCAAAAAGAAAAGGAAAGTCATTTATCTGGAATTATTTCGGTTAAAAGAAGGATGATGTCGACCAAAACACTTGTTCTGTGATCATCTGTTGCCACAATAATGTCCCAGCACAATAACAGCTAAAAATATCTCTGAGACAGACAGAAGTCATTCTACAAACATTAACAAAAAAGAGGTAAGATCAGTGCAGGTTAACTGTCCTCAAGACTTCAGCGGTGCAGCATAACATTAAGTGCTATTCAGGTCATCCGGTGAAAATTCCTGTATTTTTTAATATCGCAATATATATCACAGGGTTGAAAAAAATCGCAAGGTTAGTTTTTTCCATTATTGTGCAGCCTTACCTCAAACTCAAGATTGAAAGCACTTTGAACCAAGTTTGCTGTTTGTTGAATTTATCTTATGAGGATGAGTTTGTACAAGTTTAAAGGGGAGTTTTTGATCCTTTAGAAGACAAAAGTCAGGTGAAGATGAATCATGACGATGGTAATGAAGCTGACAATACAAAGATGAACTTCAAATGATATTTAAACAAAATAAAAACAAACAAAAAACCTTATAACACCAGGCCAAGAATGTTCAACTTGTCTTTCCATCACAAACATACACATTCGTATTAGAGTTATTAAAAGAAGCCCTTTAACAATAACACAAAAATTTTTTTATCTCTGCTAAAGTAACCATAATGGCTGGTTAAATACTCCCAGTGTTTTTTGTTGTCATTTCTGCCTTTTAAAAGTCTCTGCAGTAAAGGTTTTCAGAGCAGTTCTGTTGTATCAGGGTAAAAATACACCCACTCTGGGTCCAGTGGCCACAAGGAAGTCTTTACCTCAGTCAACCTCTGTCACAAACAGTCTGTGTGACAAGTGTGTGTGTGTGTGTGTGTGTGTGTGTGTGTGTGTGTGTGTGTGTGTGTGTGTGTGTGTGTGTGTGTGTGTCTGAAGCAGAGAGAGGGAGAGATATAGAGAGAGTCCTTGTGTGTGTGAATACACTCTGTGGTTATTATCTTTACCTGCTATGCTGGTACTGGTCAGAGTCTAAAGTGGAAATTAACGTGTAAACCATTAAAGCCATCACCTGCAGCAAAACACACAGAGCCATTAAAGCTGGCCTTATGTAACAGCGGATTAACCCATATAGGCCTGAAAAAGCCAGTTATTATGGGCTGCAGCACATGACATCAGCTCAGCTGAGGGGAAAACATCTTTAGTGCACTGACAGAGCAGCTCAGATGCTCATTCATACAGAGAGAAGAGTTACACTGATTTATGTTGCAGAGGCTCACTTCAATGTGGATGTCTACACCAGGTTTTCACATGTCAGGCTGGGCGGTTTATTTCCTGACAGAGCAGATCTCCATCATAGCCTTGAAAAGAAAACAACTACATGTACTTATTACACTTGAAGGAAGAGCAGTCACACTTAATCTCCTGTGTGTCTGCACTTTCTGATGTGCTGGAGGGTTGATGACATTTACTCTGCTTCAACTGCATTTTGCTTCTTGATTGTTTAATGTTCATTAGTTAAAAGCTGAATGTACAACAGTTTCCCACCAGACTGACGTTAGGCTCTGCTCCAACCAAAAGGCAATCAAATCATCTCTTACTCTTACTCATTTAAATTAAACGTTGGGTTCAGCTGAGGCTATTCATGCTGACTAAGGAACACTACTCTTCCCTGATACGTCAAAAACTAAACATTATAGAGTTTTAGCTCATAACATTTCCAGAGGGTGCACACAGCTCCCTTTGGATTATTTACTTTATTGCTCTTTCAAGACTCTTGATCCTGACCCACTATTGCCATGATTGCTAGCTTTAACCTTTGACATCTTGACTCTGCAACAGCGAAGCAAAACTGTGACAATGTAGGAAGAAGTGGAATGCTCAAGAAGTGGGAGTTGCATTGCCTGCATGCCCATGCACATCACCACAGGAAACCATCTAAATCACCCTGAAGAAGCTATGCTTTCTCAGTAAGTGGGTGCAGAAACAATGCAGAGCTTTTTGGCTTGCATGTTGGTAGGGGTGCAAGGCTCGAGGATGTCTACAGTATATACTGCATGTATAAGCAAGAAAAACTATGTCTTATATAGTAAGGGACGTTTAAACTGTTGTTGCGAGAGATGTGATGTGATATAATCTACAGTACATAGTTTTACTAGCTTTTCTATTGTCCATAAAGTCAAAGAATGATCAGACTGCATTTAGCCTGAAAATAAGGATGGTATACTGAAACCATCCTGACATTAAAAGCCTGACAGATACCATCTGTCTGACCCTTGACCTCTGTTCTGACTGCAGCTGAACAATCAGGAATCATGCAGGAGGAAGCGCATCAGAAAACAGCCTTTTACTGCAGCAGGTTGACCTCTGAACGGCAGTTTCTTTCCATAAATTGTCTTGTTGAGCAGAGAATGAACAGCTCGTCTCTGACATAGTCATCAGTCTGTTTCAGAGCTAGTTGTAAATTTGAAATGAGGTCAGGAAAAATGTTCAGCTCTATGATGCAGCTGGAGGACGGCACACATGCAGGGCAAGCTGTGATGTCATGCACACATGACCACTGCTGTGTGTGCGTCTGTGTCATGAACCAGCCAGGGATATATTTAGAGGCCAGGGTTTTATGTGTGTATGTGCCTGTTTGTGTGTTTGACTGTATGTCTGTAAAAATGAAGAGTATTACGGAAGGTCTGGGAAATTTTACCTCCATCTTTTGCAGTGTTGTTGCTGCAGTTTATTTTTTATTTTTACTTGAGCCAATAAAGATAAGATACTTGGTAAAAACAGTTTTCTTTTTTTCTTTTATTTCAGACACGTATACTTTCATATCAGCTGGTGTTATGTTGTTCGATAGCTTCCCTAATCCAGCTCTGGTGCTTACTGTCCTTGGTGCGGATGACTCTCGCCTTATCCTAGTCTATAGGATGATTTTCCCTTTTGGTCCATTATGGCAGATTTGTAGTTTTCCTGTAGTGTTTCCTGTTTCCTGGAGCAGCATCCTGCAGAGGCAAACAGACAGCGGGAGGTGTGACCGTCATGTCTAAAAAATTGACAGGAGGGCCTGAAAATGATCTGAGAGCAGATCACACTTCTGCCTCTCCACCTGGCTTTGTAAACAGGCTTGAGAAAATCTGTTCCGTGACGAGGGTTGTCAGCCAATCAAGGGCCAGTTGTGAAAGTAGGCATGTCCCTAAGGTATACAGTGGATATAAAAAGTCTACACACCCCTGTTCAACTGCCAGGTTTTAGTGATGTAAGAAAATGACAGCAAGATAAATATTTTCACAACTTTTTCCACCTTTAATGTGGCCTATAACCTCTACAACGCAATTGAAAAACAAACTGAAACCTTCAAAGGGAAAAATAAAAAATAGAAAAGTTAAAATAACCTGGTTGCATAAATATGCACACCCTTGAACTAATACTTTGTTGCAGCACCTTTGGCTTTTATTACAGCACTCAGTCTTTTTGGGTAGGAGCCTATCAGCGTGGCACATCTTGATGTGGCAATATTTGCCCACTCTTCTTTGCAAAACCGCTCCAAATCTGACAGATTGCAAGGGCATCTCCTATGCACAGCCATCTTCAGGTCACCCCACAAATGTTCGATGGGATTCAGGTCTGGGCTCTGGCTGGGCCATTCAAAAGTCTCAATCTTGTTCCAGTGAAGCCATTCTTTTGTTGATTTAGATGTGTGCTTTGGGTCATTGTCGTGCTGAAAGATGAAGTTCCTCTTCATCTTCAGCTTTCTAGTGGAAGGCCAAAGTTTTTGTGCCAACACTGACTGGTATTTGGAACTGTTCATAATTCCATCCACCTTGACTAAGGCACCAGTTCCAGCTGAAGAAAAACAGCCCCAAAGCATGAAGCATCAAACATGGGGCAATGTGGTGTTGTTTTTGCCCCTGGCGAACATATCGTTGCCCTCCACTGCATGGCTCATAGGTTCTGTGCTGTGTTCAAAATACGTCTGTTAATATGAGCTTTAAAGATAAATCAAGAGTAATTTAATACTTTCTTGTTTAGTCATCCCACCATTACATTATTACTGCAACTTTTGCCCCATCCCAGTATATTCAGTCAAACAACCCATATTACATTTATACTGAATTTTTATGAATCAGCCTAGTTTTTATACTCTCCTTAATAGGTTGGAGTTTGCTATGCTGAATGTCCAGAGAAGGAGCCCATGGTTGTTAAAGAGAATGATCTCCTCCACCTTATCTGTTAGACCTACCATTACAGCCCAAAATCACAGCGGGAGCTGCAAGAAGTGGGCAAAATGCTGGGGGGTTAACATCAGCAACCCTTTCAGTGTCAAAGGTATTTCTCTTAACCACTAACATTTCATTATTTTCCTCAGTACCTGTAAGTATTTTGTGCTGTTCAAGTAACGAATGATTGTTCTAGGGACACGGTGGGTTCCACATGTTGAGCCAGCATTGCTTGCCCTTCTAAAATCCCCAGCCCAGTGTACTGCAACATTGCAGTACATGAGCCACTTGGCTGCAAGCTCTCCCTCTGCTGACATTAAAGGAAGAGCACTAAAGGTAATGTATTTCAAATGAAATGTTGGCTTCTAATACATTTTATCCTGGTTGTTTAAAGACACGGATGTTATTAAAATCTCTGAAATGATTTTGTAGATCAAGAGTGAGATGGAGTCAGCACAGTTCTGTGTGTTCAGCCACTTTATGGCTGATGGCTGAGGGAGAGAGTGTAACGTTTCAGGTGCAATAGGAAATAAGATAATATTTCGAAAATACATTATTTTTCACAAGGCTTAGGTTGAGGAGAAATTACATATTGGATTGAAATATGCAAAGACATGAAATCAATGGTTTCAGTCACTAATGGTATATTATTTTCGTGTTAATTTGCAGAGCATGAAGCTGAAAGGGCAGGTCCATTTGACAGGTGCTGGTCCACATGTACAAAACCCAATTCAATTGAAGTTGGGAAACTGTGATAAACGTAACAGAATACAATGATTTGCAAATCCCTTTTAACCTATATCCAATTGAATACACTACAAAGACAAGATATTTAATGTTCAAACTCCTAAACTTTTTTTTTTTTTGCAAAGAATAATTAACTCAGAATTTCATGGCTGCAACACGTGCCAAAGTAGTTGGGACAGGGGCATGTTTACCACTGTGTTACATTACCTTGATGTACAATTTCAGTTGTTCAACAGTCCGGGGTCTCCGTTGCCGGATTTTACGCTTTATGATACACCACACATTTTCAATGGGAGACAGGTCTGGACTGCAGGCAGGCCAGTGGAGTACCTGCACTCTTTTACTACGAAGCCACACTGTTGTAACACGTGCAGAGTGTGGCTAGGCATTGTCTTGCTGAAATAAGCAGGGGCGTCCAAGAAAAAGACATTGCTTGGATGGCAGCATATGTTGCTCCAAAACCTGTATGTACATTTCAGCATTAATGTTGCCTTCACAGATGTGGAAGTTACCCGTGCTTTGGGCACTAATGCTCCCCCATACCATCACAGATGCTGGCTTTTGAACTTTATGTCGACCCAGATGGTTCTTTTCCTCTTTGGCCCGGAGGACACAACGTCCACTATTTCCCAAAACAATCTGAAATGTGGACTCTCCAGACCACAGAACACTTTCCCACTTTGCATCAGTCCATCTTAGATGAGCTTGGGCCCAGAGAAGCCGGCTGCGTTTCTGGATGTTGTTGATAAATGGTTTTTGCTTTGGATAGTAGAGTTTTAACTTTGATGATATTATGGACCCTAGATGTTGAAATCCCTAAATTACTTGCAATTGTACTTTGAGAAACGTTCTTAAACTGTTCAACTATTTGCTCACACAGTTGTTCACAAAGTGGTGAACCTCGCTCCATCCTTGCTTGTGAATGACTGAGAATTTTTGGGGAAGCTGCTTTTATACCCAATCATGGCACCCACCTGTTCCCAATCAGCCTGCTCACCTGTGGGATGTTCCAAATGGTTGTTTGATGAGCATTCCTCAAATTTCTCAGTATTTTTTGCCACCTTTCCCAACTTCTTTGTCATGTGTTGCTGCCATCAAATTCTAAAGTGAATAGTTATTTGCAAAAAAACAAAGTTTATGAGTTTGAACATTAAATATCTTGTCTTTGTTTTGTATTCAATTGAATATAGTTTGAAAAGGATTTTCAAATCATTGTATTCTGTTTTTATTTACATTTATCACACTTTCCTAACTTCAATGGAATTGGGTTTTGTATCAGCAGCTGTTGATATTGCTGTAACAGAGATGAGGTCACGCTTCAGCTGTGTGCTGATTGATTCAGAAGAAAGTATAGTCAACTGCTTCAAAATATTCAACCATGACACATGGCCAGAGAGTTTAAGGGAACTGCTGGACCATGGCTTCTTAGACAGTGAGTGGATGCAGCAACAAAGAACATGGACATTTGAGCATTAGATTTGAATAGAGGTCCAAACAAAACACAAGCTTTTTTTCAATCACATCTACATGTTCAGAGTGCCTAAATGTTTCCATATCTCATTCCCTTCTCTAATCAATCTCCCTCTTATCTATGTTGACAAAGGGGTGGATGCCAGCTTCACCAAGAGCAACAGGAATGGCAGCAGATAAAAGCCCTTGTCAGGACCAGGTTTGCAGATAAGTGCTACTTAGGACTGTCGCAGACACTTCTTACCAAGGAGCCCTATTGCTCAGACTTCAAGGTATATGGGCAGCATTAAACATTCTTAAGAATTTACAAATTTGCATTAGGAAATCTGAATAAGTAGTTTTACTTATAAATACTTTTATTTCAGAACTTCCTACACTTGGCAGAAATTCTCCTGGTAAAGCCAATCTCCTCCACTCGCTGTGAGCGTGGATTCTCATCGCAAAATCATATTTAAAACTCTACCCACAGCAGCCTCCATGTCTCCTCAACTGAAGACTTAATCCGAATCAGCTCAGAAAGTTGTCCTTTTGAGGAGTTTGAAACCAGTCGTGCTGCAGAACACTGGATGTCGTCTTCCAAGAGGGCCAGAAAGTCACTCTTGAAGAAGTGGTCAGATGACATGCCTACTGTGATGTGATTACAACTGTTTTAAATTAAAGTGCAGTTCTTATTTAGTATTAAGCATCAAGTTGGTTTAGCTTTTTTATTTTTGTCCTATAAAAGAAATAAATCAAATGTTTCTAAAAAAAACTTGTTTGGATTTTATTTACTGTATACAATATGTACAACGTGTCGTTTGCCAGTCACACAACCGGTTTCTTAGATAGACATGTCATATATCGTGCAAGTACAAGTTTTTGTCTTATGCTACAAGATTGTCAACCTCTGTAGCACCGGTGCTATGGACACAAAAAGTTAACGTACAGCCCTGAAAATTCAGTGCAACTATCTGAGTCAGCACATACATTTAGATCTATATCGATATATTCTGATCTATCTTATCTGATGAGCGTGTTTGGCATGCGTTTTGACACATTTGACTGAATTAACACAGCTAAAACCGCATTTAATATCCAGTAAATAGTCACACATGATAATTTGTCTCCCCACTTTTTCTCTCTTTCTCTTCCTTTTCTTTCTCATGCAGCTCCAGCCGGACATGTCTCTGTGTCCTCTCCCCGTCCTGCTGCTGCTGTGGCAGCTGACCAGATGATTGATTTACTTCAGATAAGTTATTTACTTCAAAAATTTGCAGAAAAAAAAACAAAACCTTATTTAAAATTACCCGTTTATCTAATGTTCTCACATCCTTAAAATTCTGTGAATATTCAACCCGGTGTCAGACCCACATACAAATACTGTAATATTCAGTTGGGTGAGTCAAGTTCATTTTATATGCCAATATCAATGAAAGGAAGAGCCAGGTCACGAAGCGTGGTGCGTCCTTTACGCACAGGTGGTTCCGATCTTAATGCCACTATTAGAATTTGTTTATGTTTTAATCTGTGGGCACACCCACCTTTGTAGGTTGTGATTGTCTTTATTTGTGGAAAAGGGTGTTTGTCTTACCAGTGGGTACAACCTTACACACACCAAATCCCTCTGTGCTTATTTGAGAGGGTGTGGAGAACGCCCTCCTCAGCGCTTACCGCAACACTTGTTGAAGGGCAGCCTTCTGTCGCCATCGTGTGGCATTACTGTCTTCAGCCATCTCTTGATCTCTTCAACTACTTCATGAAAATTGTCATACACCTCAACGGTGGCGGATATAGAGGTGAGGAGAGGAGCTATTGTGATTGGTGAAAACAGTGTGGAGTGTGCTAAACCCACTCTATACCTTATCCCCTCCCTCTCTGCTACTTACGCCTCCCTCTCTGCCACTTACGCTCACCAAAATACCAAAGTGTGCTTGGGCACGCATCATCGGTGCAGCAGACCTAGCTTATGCCGCACCTGCGCCACGCTGCCAGTGAGGCACGAAAATAGAGCTCCATATCTTTAAGCACATTTCCTGTCACTCAGCATAAATGTTTATACTCTATAATCTTTACTGTATAATTCAGCTCAAACGTCTGCAAGTGCAAAGTAACAGTACACAATATAATGTCAATCAGACAATCTACTGTCCTGCCACTACTGGAACAAAAAGACTTCTTCGACACAGAGTGAAAAAAGTTTTGAGTAAACCTCTGCAGACCACCACTGGTCACAGACTTGAGCTCACCTGCAGGTTTTAACAGTCCTCCTCATTTGAAATACAGCAGCAGTAACTTCTGCCTCAGAGGAAGTGCTGTGGGGAGGACTGTGATGACTGGTTTTCTTCGTACTGTAAGGAACTGATCAGATCATGATGATCATGCGACTAAGAGATGGTATTTCAGACAGGAGTAGTCCCTGCTGAACAGGAAGCCTGCTAACACTGAAAGGGAACTAAAACTGTCCCCCAGCACAAAAACAGCAGTACAAGACAAAGACTGAACATATTTGTGGTCTTTTTGCTGAAACATGCTGGTGCATCAGTTTAGGAGCCTAGGGTTTTCTACAGAAATCACATGAAGAGAACAGCGTTACAGTATTGTACTGTATTTGTTTTCTTTAATGGTTTTCAGTCTGCTATCACTTTTCTCTTCAGAGGAGTAAAAGTAGGTCATTCACACTGAGAGGGAAACACAGAACAAGGTGATTTCAATAAATTATCTTAAAACTAATGGAGTTAATTTAAAAAAGAGACAAAAGCAGCTGCAGAGGAGTAGAGATAAAATCTTTGTAAAACCAGACTTTGTTGTGTCCTGACAAACCCAGAGTCCAGCTTACCTATGGTCCAGTCTCATGTAATAGTGGGGATGGTAGAGGAGACCAATTTCCAAGTTTAAGAATCAGAAGTTTTAATTTTGACCAGATGACTAGTCCAGGGGTAAGACAACACTCAAAAAGAAGTCAAATTTAGGATGATCTCTTTTACACAGCTTCACACTGTAAAACAATCTTTACAGTCATCACAAATACTCAAATACGGCAAAAACACATCATTTGTTGTGAAACAACAATAAAAATGTAACAGTGTGTTTCATGAATGTCTTCATGCTGTCCTGGACTGAAGGACACAGGGAACCACAGGTGTTTCCAAAAAAAATTTAGTTTTATTCTGTTGCACTGGAGCCGTGAGAAGGACGAGAGGCCATAGTCTTATAAATACCTATCATCCTTTGCACTCTGCTCACATCTCAGTTCTTGTACAATGAAATTGACAATATTTGAACAGGAGGGCAAAAGGAAAATTTTGTAATTCTGGATGCTCCTTTGGTTTTGAAAGTGGACATGTTAAATATTTGTGTGTCCCTTTGAGACAGGAGAAAGGAGAAAAGATGACGAAGAATAATAAGCAATTTGCAGACACTGTCATACTGTGGTGACTGACACCACAGGGAATATGGTGGAAGCCACCTAGCTAATGCTCACTCTGAAAAAGCTTTGAGAAGATGCAAGGTAATGTAGGCAGACCAAGAGACTCTGACACAGAGACTACTTCACACAGAATAAACTCAAAAGGTGTATCTCTAAATATACAGCAAGAGACCAACAGAGCTTTTCTGTGGTCAATAACCAAGGACTAAGAAAGTTAGTAAACACACAGAAGCAAATGTGCAAATTCACATCATAGCCATACTTGAGTCAAACACTATAAGCAGCCATCTACACTGAACCTCAAGCTAACAGAGAACAACTCACTGCTACAGATGGCCAGACTGTACTAACCACTCAGAGATTTGACATCATTGAATGGAATCAATAATTAAGCACAGAATAATCAGAGCTGCAGCCAGTTCAATAAATTTGCAGGCTGTTTACAGCAGTGTGCTGTTGTCTTTCATAAGGAAACAGCAAACATGTTATGATAACATTTGCTTTTGGACATTTTATATCATAATATTGTGGTTTGAGTGAAGTTTCTCCCCCTTTTCATCCAAAGAGGTTGGGCGGCTCTTCTCTGGCTCCTTCTGCACTGACACAACTGCACCTCATCTCCTGCTATCACCAGCTGCACTTAAAGAGATAGTCCGGTGTAAAATTAATTTAGGGTCAAACACACCGTAAAAACAAGTTAGACACCCCGTCGAGGGATGAATACTGCCGACTGCTTGCTGCTCCAGTTATACCAACTTTAGTAACGAACGCAGGATAGCAATACACAGCAGGCTAAGGAGCCATAAACAAACCTCAACCAAAACACCACTCTATAGCCACAAATAATGCTCAGAACAGCACCTAACTTCATCAACAGTACATATAGGGTCTCAGCCACAGTACTAGCCACCAAACATCTTTTTAGCTTTGCCTGTTTTCTTTAGCAAAGAGACTAAACACAACTCAGCCACTCTCCTCCAGCAGCTGCCTGTTTGTAAGGAGAGCTCGGATGAGTCCATCACTGACTGCAGTGGGGTGACGCATCTCAAGGAAGAACATTTATGATGTGTACTTAAAGGGATATTCCGGCGGACCCAGATAGAAAGAAATCCACCCTCGTAGTACGGAAAACCCTGGAGTTATCCAGAAGTTATCTCGCTAAGATCAAATCCAGCTCCGTGGTACAGGCCTTGGGTGGTCTGTATTTTGATCTAAAAACCAAAGTTTACTGAGTGTCAAACTGTTTTTTTAACGTACTGCAAAGCACTTTGTGTTGCACCCTTTTGTAGGAAAAGCGCTTTATAAAGTTTGATTTTACGTAAATATTCACATCACAAGGTAAGGATGTTGTAATAATCTTAGAAAATAAATGTGAACTGCTCAAAATAATTTGTTCGAAGATCACATGAGATCTCTAAGAGACTCTCTAACTAATGATGTCATTGCAATAGTCTCTCATTACTGGTTTGTCAAAGCTACAACTGAACGACTGACTACGGGGGAAACGCTGCTCCGCTGCTCAACTGATCAACCACAGTAGAGGGGTGGGGCCAAAACATCAAGCCCTGCCAATCAGAAGAAAGTAGGCTTGTAAAGAGACAGCAGCTAAAAGAAACAAATGTTGAAATATTGATATTTTAATACACCAGAGTGCGAAACAGGAGGCTTTTTTGATCTAAAAATCATGTAAAGTTACTAAAGAGGAATCAGAAAGGAAAACCTAGCTGTCTGTGTGCTACTATGTTCAGTCATATTAAATGTGCTCACTTTTGACTGTTTTGTGGATATGTTCTAATCTTTACATCAGTCAGTCAGTCAGTTTGAATTTAAATTACCTATAAATGAGGTGCTTTGGAGCAGGTTTGAGAATAAGAATAACTATTTTATCCTCAAAGGGAAATTCAGTTGTCTGTACTCTCAGTTGTCATGTCTCTAAAAGTCATCTGCTATTTACAGAAGAGTTGTAAAGTCTGATGGCTGTGGGTACAAAAGATCTTCTAAAATATTTTTGTCCTGCAGTGAAGAGAGAGGAACTGTCCACCACTATTGGCCCTTTCAGATTCAGATTCAGATTCAGACTTTTATTGTCATTGTACACCAAGTTAAAACAAAATTAGTTTAGGATGCTCTTCCCAGTGTGCAACAAAAGCAATAAATATAAGAACAATAAATATAAAAACAATAAATAAATTAAGTTGTTATGAAGTGGGTGATCCATGTTCTTTAGAATAGTCTCCACCTTCCTCAGTGTAGATCTCTCCACCACATCCTCCACTGAGTCCAGCTTGAGTCCTACCACAGAGCCAGCCTTTTTCACCAGTTTGTTAAGACGTCTTGCATCTTTGTGTTTGATGCTTCCTCCCCAGCAGACTGCAGCGTAGAACAGAACACTTGCCACCACAGACTGATAAAACATCTGCAGTGTCTTACTACAGATGTCTATTGATCGGAGTCTTCTCAGGCAAAAGAGGCAGCTCTGCCCCTTTCTGTAGATGTAGTCTATATTCTTAGACCAATCCAACTTATTATCCAGATGTACACCTTGGTATTTATATGATGTCACCACTTTGATGTCCTTTACATTTTGACTGTGAACTGAACCATAGTGAGATCTGTTTCCATGTGAACATAAAAGGCAAACAAAAGATGAATTCTGGTGCAGATATCACAGCCTGGCTGACATACAAAACTACCATTATTTCTTTTAATGACTGACCAGCATTCTCAGACTCAGCAGGGTGTAAAGTTTTCAATAAAACCTGATTATGTCCTGCTGCCTCTTCAAATGACCTTTACAAACCTGATAAACAGCCCAGAGTGAGTCTCAGGAGCCAAGGGGGCATATCGGGGAAATGATGAAGACATTTCCTCTCAGTCACATTAGCTGGTGAGGTAGCTGCATTTAATACATGAGTCCAACAGATCGGTGCTAAATAAAAGAAGAGACTGCCTGTAGGCGACCACGGTGTTAGTCTTCAGTTTTGGAAACATTACAGGAAGATTACACAAGATTTCACAGAGAAGCAGACTGCAAACAGAGGCTCAGCTTACATAACCAGGAATCTGTGATTGTCTACTTTTATGAGAGCATGTTAGTCATTTCTTGAATGCATTCTCTTTCTCTCAGATAGTAATAAGACTGTTTTGGGGCAGAGGGTAACATTGTCAGAACTCCTGCTCATAGAAATTCCTCTAAAGAATCACGACTGTTGATGTTTTTTCTATAAAACAATAACTTTTATGATCTCTGCATCATCTTTACAAATGGGAAATGCATTTGACAGTATATCAGATCTAAGACTGACTCAAGTTTGATACAAATTCTGATGACCATGACGTACTGCTCTGTGATGTTTAGTGATATTTGTTCACATTATTATAGTATGTAAAATCAACAATGTCATGTTGGTATTATACTGTATATTGTCCGACCTGCTCTCTTACTAATGGTATCCATGTCGGCATTTGAAAAAACTCACATGGGTTGACCGCTACAGTAGTATTGAGCCAGAAATTGGACCTTTTCACACCCTTCACCACCACAGCCATCAACAATACCTGTTGGCTAGGAATTCAATTCTTTTCAGAAACTTGAGTGGATGGATAAAATGGTCAATGGACGATGTTAATAAAGTGCTTTCCTCGTCTTCTGCTGTGAAACAAGTTCAGTTGTTGACTATCCATCCCCACACTACCAGGTGCTGGCTGCAACCAGTGGCAGGGTCAAGCATCTTGCCCTAGGACATTGGCTTTAAAACAAGGTCTTTAATTAAGTCAGGTTTCATTCATCATCACTTTCTCTGCTCTCTCATTTCTTCACACTGTGACACCACAAGCTTGTCCATGAGGCTTTAGTACTGTGGAGGGACTTCAGACTTGAACCCGTCAGTATTGGCTTCATAGTTTATCATTCAAAATTGTTGCTAACAGCAAAAATTTCGTTGTACTAAAAAAAACTGGTGTTTATTTTTGAGACTTACAAAATGTAGTTGGAAGCCAATTTTCTTCAAGTTAAATTTCATTATTATGGTTCCTGAAAAGTGCATCATGCTAAACAATCTAGTAATTGTGCTATCTTATGTCTAATTTGCACACTTATTGTCTCTCTTCAGGCTCATTCCATGTACTAGTGGTAAACTGCCCAAACCTTGCTGTTTGTGAAAGGACAGAGAAATGCTGAGCATGAACACTTCACAAACCAACCAATAAGAGATCACAGTTACCACGGTTACAGCTTGTACAGGGTTGTTTATCTGTAAGATGGTTGGTCTTACCATTGTAGGTCACTCTGGGTTTGGTTAAACACAACACCAGGTGAAGATCCATCTCATCTGAGGACACAAACTTGGAGCACACAGGGCACTTGAAGCCTAAAAAAGGGCAGAAAAACACAGAGAATAAATGATAGAGTGATACATTTGTGTGTGTGTGTGTGTGTGTGTGTGTGTGTGTGTGTGTGTGTGTGTGCGTGCGTGCGTGTGTGTGTTCTCCTCCTTTCCTCATCAAGCTGGTCTCAGCAAGTGATGTGAAGCTTTGTTTGAATGACACACAGAGAGAGAACAGACCGAGATGAGTATGAATCTGATTTTTTTAACTCTTAACCTCAAGATTGAATCATTTTACAACATGCTTGTAATTCCTGATGAGCCCCTTTAGTTCTTTACATTCACACAGGTACTTCTCCTCTCCTCGCCAGATAAGAAACTTTGTCACTCTGATGAAACACAACAAAGCGTACTTGAAATTATGATAGGATAATGTTACACAGATCTGCTCTAAGAGAATCTAACCAAGAGAGAAATCCTAATGTGAAGGTGCTTCTCCATTGAATGATTCCTTTTTGTTTGCAGGGACTGCAGAAAGATTTAGGAACCTTTCAGAACGGCTGACAGAACTAACTGATCTACAGTAGTGTTCAGATTTTTATCATGCTGCAAGATAAGAGATGATGAAATATCATGAACACATGCAAATGTCCTAAACTAATGCAAATGAGGAGGTAAAATAAGATAAATAAGGAAGCAAAAAGATAAGTCAACTGCATTTACTGAAAGCATGCTGCAGATATATAATATTCAGCACAAATCCAAAAACACACACAAAAAAAGTGCAAAAAAAGAAACAGCATATCCATACATGACAACAGGAGTGCTCAGATGAACTGTTTACAACCATTTCTTATCAAGGTGAGAGAGAAGAAGCAGCAAACTTCATGAGACAACCAAATGATGGACACTGTGTTAAAGAGTCACTCAGAGCCTAACTGCTTTATCCTTGTCCAAAGAGGCCCAAGTTAGCCTAAAGGCTCACAAAATGAGGAAGAAAATGCTACCATTAGCTCACTCTTATCTCATGATCCACTTCTGAAGTTTCAGGACTCTGAACAGCTGGTTATCTCAATACAGTGTTCACTCACACATGAAGACTCAACTCAAGGTCAAGTCTTGTGTTTTCTGCATAATTCAAGATAAAGTTCGTCATGGCTAATGAAGAAGCTACAAACTCTTCTGGCTCTTTAACAAGCCATCATTGGTACAAAAGCAAACCTATGTGGACCTTTGGGACCTGCATGAGACTGTTCTGTTAATCCTGCCCCCACCCCATCCTTTGGATTTCTAACCATGTATGTGATCCACAATAGCTCACAGCTGCAAAACATGACCGATCCTGAGCTCACCCACTCAAACTCTAACCATTTAGGCAAATTTTGTGTTCAATCAATGAACTGAATGAACAAAAACATGTTTACTAGAGTAAAGCATCACATTTCAGTCACATGTGCATGTAGTTTGCATAATGAAAGATCCTCTGATTACAGAAGTTGATGTAAGCTAAAAAAACAAACAGTGAGATGGCTTGATTGATTCAGTGTTTTCCCCAGGATGGGAATATTACTGGTGGTGAGTTAATAGGGGTTGAGGGAGTGATGAATCAGCAGTGACATCGCAGACGATAACTCACAAATCCTAATACTAGGCATGTGCACGTATGTATACTGATACTAGGCATGTAACAATATGAAGATTTAACATCACGATTATTGTGACCAAAATTATCACGGTTATCAACATTATCACAGTATTATTGAAATATGTTCAAAATGTTTAAAATGTACTTATACAGGCCCTGAAATCATTTAAGAAAGCTTTATTTTGAAAAAACAATCAAAATAACATGCAGAATGAACTTTTCCTTAACCTTAAATAACAGAGGAACAATGAGCTCAAAATATTAAAGATAGGGCCAGAGGTAATCAACACTAGTACTAGTAATAACAAAGTACAAAGTAATGTGCCAGTGGCATAAACATTAACACAATAACAAATAAATAAAATGTAAATAAAATGACATTCCTTATTGTGCAAGTTGCAAGAATCTTCAGTGCAACACTACTATATGAAACAATACAGCCACGTGTGTGTTTGACCATAACTTAAATTTACACCGGAATATCCCTTTAACGATAAAAAAAAACATAAAAAGCAACAAAATCAATTTTTTGATGCAATCAACTAAAAGTTTTCTCTGAAATAGTGGAGGAAATATTCATGGAAAGGGGGAGGCAGAGGTGATAACGCTCATCTGTGAGCGAGCAGCTCTGCCGCAGGAGGCAGAGTCACATGCCACTGATGGCTGACAGACAGCAGACAGAAGAGGGAAATGTGTGCACGGTATCACGTATGTGGAGCTTCCTCCTCCCATCAGTGTTTCCTATGTAACACTGATGGGATAAATAGATTAGTGCAGCCAAAAGCAGACTGTTCAATGCCCGTCTGACCTACTTCAATGAACCACAAAACGCACATGCACACTCAAGCAAGATGACATCTCTCAAGATCTCCCAGCCATCTGCTGACAATTAGGACTGCGTACTGGAGGTGTATTCACCTAAAACATTGATGAGGACCAGTACCAACTCTGCGTAACTCCTGTCATTCTGAAAAGACTGAAAGGCAAAAGGAGCATTACCTGTGATGACTCATCCACTAAACACTGTGAGATACTCTCTCCAGGAAATTAAACTCTGTGTGTGTGTGTGTGTGTGTGTGTGTGTGTGTGTGTGTGTGTATACGTTCTTTTGAGGTCATCCTTGTCCTAAAATGAAGACATTGTGAAAAATATGTCTCCTGGAATCACTCCCATTGGCAGGGAAAAGTAAAGATAAAGTCACTGACAGAACGGTAAAGGTTGTTAAAAGCCCTGGAGTGATGGGTTAGCAACGCAGGAAACTTTGCTGCTGCAGAGGGACTGATACCCACAGAAGAAACCAAAGCGAATGTAGAACAAAAAATAAGCATGATCTGAAACATCCGCTTCCTGTAGGCACAGACTTTTTGATGATGATGGTTTTGATGAAGAGGCAACAGGAAAATACTTTCCTTAATGCAAACAAAAAAGAAAGCAGCATTTGGTCTGACAAAGCTGATAAACTAATCATCTTCATCAGAACAGAGCAGGTGATCACTGACTGAAGTGATGATGAAGCAGGTGTCCCTGGAGTTACAGTGCTGTGTTTTATCTTTGAATTAAAATGACTGGACGGCAGACTAGGCTCTTGTTATAGTGAGGAAAAGAAAGACAGACAGATGGACATCATTAACTCCCAGGTCCACATATGTCTCTTCATTATGCTCCATTAATCACAGTAACTCTTTGTCTCATGAACCAGGGGGATGAAAGTGTTAACTACCAAGTACTGTCACTGCCCTGACCTCTGAGCCATGGCTACATCATTTATATGGTCTTAGAAATAGAAACAGACTTTTTCTGAACAGACTCACATTTTTTTATTGCAGGGTAGGTCAATCTGTCCATTTTTAAGCCACTGTTACAGAGCCTTATTGTACTATATTTAAAAAAATAACATTGCAATTAAATTCCTCTCTGAAATAAATACTGGGATATGAAAAATGTAGACATCAGATCTATGCAGTGTTAATTAAGTGCTTAGAAACAATACTAATTCATAATAACACAATTATATATAATGTTGATTAATCTGTCTATTTTCTGCTTTTCAATCTAACCCTCCTCATGCTCATGCTGTGTTTAGCTCCGACAGCAGTTCTGACCTCCAGAGAGGAGGAGAAGACAGGTAAAGTGGCAAGTTACTACATTAACTGATGAACTTATGTGTAATTAATCATGTCTGTCAATGTTAAAATTTTTCTTATTTGATGGTAACCACTACAACACAATTGTCTTTTTCTGCAAATAACTTTCACACCACTGTAATATATGTGCTCTGGTGTAGATGTTCAAAGTTAAGGAGTCAGTGCATCTGCAGAGCTGGACAACAATTTTTTTTAATGAAACCAGATAACTGTGGTAGTTGCAGCATCCCTGCTTGCGTGCATGTTTACATTCTACAGTCATATGACACACAGTTACAGACACCCAGAGGTCAGCTCTCTGTGTGTTTCAAGCAGACGCTGCACGGGACAATGAGGGACTTGTGACAACATGACGTGAAATCTAATGTCCTGTGATGTGAGTGTAGAGCACGCTCCCTCCGTGCTTAACCACCCCCAGAACACCAACAGTTCTGGCTCCAAAATAGGTTTGTGCATGTTTGGTTAGTTGAATAATTCAACGCTGACACCTCACTAGTTGGCACCAAAATTACTGGTCGGCTAACTGAATTATTATTTTTCAATGCTGATTACATGTCATGTCCATGCTGTAGAACAGCTGGAACAGGAGCTTGGGTTAAAGTTTATAGGCATAATACTGTAATATTGTACTACCCATACCCATAGTATTACCCATACTATCCAACAGACAAGCACAGTTAACAGATGGCATTTCATGGAGCAGTTTGCTTTGTCAGTGTTTTGGCAGGAATTAAGAACCAGTTTCAGATGAGAATTGGCTCCAAATAGTTTAGCATCAGTTACCTTAAGGCTAAATGATTTCCCTATTAAGACCCTTGGGTCAGTGTGCCTTATTACACAATGATGTGATACATTTAGAGAGGCAGAAAGTGAAAACAACAACTAAGGAGTCCAATTACAAAGGACAGATGAGAGAGGGGATACAAACCATTGTTGTATACGACATAATATTGTTAAGCTTATAATAACACTACAGTATGACATGCCTACTAACAGTAAAACACCACCTACATGAGACCAGTAGCTTTCCTGCAGTCATCTCTGTGTCTCTGTCAAAACAAAGGGAACCTATCTAGCTTATTCCTGATGGTGCTACTGTATTTACCATTATAGGTGAAACTGCGGGCCAATATAATCTGATATTCTTTTTTTTTTTTTGCTGAAATCGGACAAATATCCTACATCAATATCATATCGGGACATCCCTAATTTATTTTTAATGTTTTTGTCAATCAAAATAAGGGAAATAAATAATAATCTGCCAAAAGACAATCACACCCTCCACAGGATCTCAGCTGCATGGCTGCAGGATCATCCCGGTCCTGCAGTTGTGTGCATTTCACCTGGAGCTGACACTAAAAGCCAGGGACACTGAGGCTCAAACTTGGCTCTACATGTCCTTTTAAGAACATATGATTGTGTCAAACCTCTTAAAACAAAGTCTTTGTAAATACTGATAAGCTTCAGTCTGCAGTCTACAGCAAAAGACCTAACAAAGTAGCTAAATATGTTAGCATATGTTTTTTAAGCCATTTCTGTTTATCCTCCTCCCACTTCTCCATAGAGGAGGGCAGTAGAATGATAACATTGTCCTTTTTAAAGTGTCACAGATGATGCTCCCACATTGTTTTTTATCCTCCTTTGCTTAAAAAACAGCGGGTATGTCTCACTAGAGCGGTGAAGGTAATAAAACTTGTAACTGTGTTGTTGACACGAAAAACCTGCCCTAGCCACAACCCAAAAAATACACAAGAATTGATAAGGGAATAAATAATCAATAAAATCCTATCAATTCGAATCCCTGCTCATGATTTAGAAGATAGGGCTCAGGATGTATGTTGGCTTGGACAAGGCATAACAAGCATGTGGACAGTGGTGCACTGCTCACCCTGCAGATGGTAGCCACAATTACCACGAGACTTTGTGATGCTGCGTTTCATGGGACTAAATGTACTGTACTTAGATCTGACTATGTTCTGAATGTTTTCTTACTTGTACACTAGTTGGTTAGTGAAAACTTTTTTCGCTCTCATGACCAGGAGATAAGTTGCTTCAAGGGCATCATCTCTCCAAAAACCCAGATAGCAAGAGTGAAAAAAGTCTTACTCAAGGTGTCATAGCTTAAGTGTACATCTGACTGAGACCCTCCTGGGGAAACTTTACTGGTTTACAGCCACTGCTTTGGGTGCTCCATTGATGATCTCTCTGCTGATCAACACCAATGCCATGCACAGCTGAAGTTAAACCCACCTGGCCCCAGTTGAAGAAGGTCACACACTGATGTCCTCAAAGTTTTGACTGAATAAGCAACATATTCCTGCTCCCATCTAATCTGTGCTTTGGACAGTATCCAGGCTATCGTGTTCATTATCCTCAGTCCCTAACTCAGCTGCCCCTCAATCAGCACATCCTGCACTTCATGCTATTAAACAGGATTTATAATCATTATTTAATTGATCGGCTCAGTATTCATTGACGAGCCTGGATGCACAACAACACTCCAACTCAGAGGATCACACAAAAACACTTACAATGTTATACACAAGCACAGGAAATACTTGGGACCATATCTACAAACATTCCAAATAAGGGGCGCTAAATTGCATGTGCAAACTGAAGTTTGAAGCCATGGAGTTGCACATATTGTTTTGGGGAACTGCATTAAAAGGAAGGGAAGTTTATTTGTAGGCTAAAGCAGCATTCATAAACAAGGCAATACAAAGTGCTTCACAGATGCAGTAACACATATTAGACAAGAAAAAAAAGGATTAAACTATTTAAAATCAATAAGACAAAGAGATGTTTTTTTTGTTTGTTCCGTGTTTAAGCTAAATATTTATGAAAACCATCATTTACCAGAAAAACGACATAAATCACAAGCTATTAGATCAGGCACTCAGCCGCACTCAGTCTTAAACACTAGGGACAGCACAGCAGAAAAACTACTCTGGGAGACACACTAACAGCTATGGATCTTGAAAGATCCAGATGCAGGAAAATGCAGTGTTACAAGGAGTTTTTCAGTAGGAGATATGGCATAGATCATTTTTGTGATTGTGACTGGCACCAAATAAGTCCTTAGGTCACCCGGCAGCTCAAAAACGAATGCTGCTTTAGCCTACATTACTATTACTCCACTATTTTTATTTCTGACAGTCCAAACATGTTGACACATGCACTGGAGACTCTCTCTCTTTGTCGTCTATCATTGTACTTCTTTCCCTTCTTCTCCCCACAATGACTGCAGCCCTTTTTTCATAACGCTGTGCCAGTTTGCAAGCGCCTTTTAAACGTGCTAAATATAGACACATATATAGACTGCAGCGACTGCAATCGGTTTCCGGGTTTGATAAATCTTATTGTAGGTGCTACATGATTTCATTTGCATCTGCTCCTCCCAGTATTTTGCATGTTTCGATGATCTACGTACAATATGCACATTCATGAAGGCATGCTAAATGGATTGTGCGCGCTGTTTTGCTCATTTGACAGACGCAATCCCGGGTGCACCTGGTTAGTAGATCAGGTTTGCGCGTGCTATCAAGTTTGCATGTGTTTTTGCACATGCAAACCTTTACTAGATCAGGCCCTTCATTTTTCAACATAGTCAGGAAAGTCTTGAAAAGTGTTGAGCATAAGGAGGTAGTTAGGTCTTTTACATCCATCATGATGGGCTCCTTTCCCTACTCTTCTTCTCTCTCCTAAGTGCTCTTCCTGGCCATGATTGCTGGAAAATGAGGGCAGCATTTAGCCTCCTCAGTGGTGTGGAAACATATTCTTATCAAGGAAGAACATATTCACTCAGAAAGACAGAAAACTGTTCAGATTATGAATAGTCTGGGGTAAATTCCTGCAGCCATTTGGATGCAGCAGGACACAAAAGTTAACAGATCTGCTGTGTGGTCAGAGCTCAGAGCCATTATGCAGAGTCCTGCCAAATGAACCGAACAAAAAAAAAAAAAACAGATTGCTGTAAAAAAAAAAAAAAAAAAAAAAAACTAACACATATACCTCCTCACACATAGATGTGTGTAGTTAAAGATCACAGTTTTTATGTGAATGCTGAGGATTTTGGACAGTGTGTTTCAAACTTTCCCAAAATAACAAAAAACAAGGACAAAGTAAAAAAAAAAAAATAAGTGTTATAATGATGAGCTTTTTGTCATTGTCTTGCTGAAATATGAAGGTCTTCCCTGAAAAGACTTTGTCTGGATGGCGGCAGATGTTGCTCCTTAACCTGTAGATATTGTTCAGCATTAATGAAGCCTTCACAAATGTGGAGGCTACCCATGGCATGGACTCTGATGATCCCTATACCATCAGAGATGCTGGACTTGGACTGATAATGAGCTGAATGGACTGTCTACTATTCAGAAAGGGGGATGCAATGTCCATGATTCCCAAAAAGCATGTCACATTTTGATTTGAAAACCACAAAACAGTTTTCCACTTTAACTTAGTCAGGCTCATTTGTGGATGCAGTGATGAACTGTGGTCACAGATAATGTTTTTTGTGACTTTGGATCAATGCAGAAAAAATGTAAACAAAACTATGAAAGAAGAAGAATTCAAGAAATTTTCGAAAACTTTATGTAGTTTCACAAGGATGACAGACCAGAACAGTGGTAGTTCAGGCTGAATGCTTCAAGGTACTGTATCAACAATAATAAATTAGCCAAGAATGTTGGCTTTGTCATTTGTCGACACAACATGATGCAATCTAGTTGGCTACATTTTCCTCCCTGAACACGCCACACAGACACACTAACGATCAAACCCCATCTGACCCCATCCCCATAGACAAACCAATCATCTAACCCCGCTCCCATGTCAAAAAGAGGCCAGAATCTTTTGTAAATGCAGAAAAATTTTGTAAAAGCAAAAAAGTTTGGAAAAATGCAAAGAAAAGTTGTGTAAATAAGAAAAAAAAATTAAAAAAAACATTTACAACTCTTAAAAACATTACAACTCTTTTTTTGGTGAACAATACTTAACTTGCGTATACAATGCTTCCCAGTCTCTTTTTGACTCTATAGGTCATGGCCCCTCCTTTTAAACAGCTCTGATTTTATCGTCATCGTCAGCTCAGGTCAAGTCAACAAGAAACAAAGTTGGGGAGGAGAGGAAGTTACTGCTCTGCTAAGATTCACTATGGCCCACTTTATCTACAACACTCAGCGCAACAGATAGGGAGAGGAGAGCAGGGAGAGGAGAAGGAGTGCAGGGAGAGGAGAAGGAGTGCAGGGAGAGGAGCAGGAGGAATGGAGAAGAGAGCAGAGAGAGAAGCAGGAGGACAGAGAAGAGCAGGGGGAGGAGCAAGAGAGGAGAGAAGAGAGAGGAGCAAGAAAGGAGAGCGGGGAGAGGAGCAAGAGAGGAGAGCAGAGAGAAGAGCGGGAGAAGGACAGAGGAGAGCAAAGAGAGGAGCAGTAGGACAGAGGAGAGTGGGGGGGTGTGGAGGAAGAAAGAAGAGCAGGATATGGGACAGGGAGAGAGAAGGAGGGAGGTGAAGAGAGGAGAGCTGAGAGATGAGCAGGGGGAGAAAGGAGGAGAGAGGAAAGCAGGGAGAGGAGGGGGAAGAGGAGAAAGGAAAGCTGGGAGGGGAGCAAGGGGAGGATAGAGTACAGCAGGGGAGGAGCAGAAGAAAGAGGGAGGAGACTAGGGAGAGTTTTATCATCCAAAGTCAAATGGATGCGCTGTCTCTTTTAGGAGTCGTATTTGAGAAATCAACACCATTTACTTTGACAGATGTATCTGCTCTGGTAAGAAAAAAAGTTAGGCTTCACTATTTTTCCCACTTGTTTTTCTAAGGAATTAAGAGGTTTTAACTTTAAAGAGGTTTATGACTGTGATTGTAATATCAATCAAAACAATTGTGACCATGACTTTTGTCGTAATTTAGCAGTCTTAATGTACACACTACCTCCAGGAAATAATTTTGGGTTCAGTGTCTGTTCAGAAACACTTAAGCGTATGACCGCAGAGATCAAATCCCCCTCTCACAATAGCCCACTGGGCCATGGCTGCCCACATGGTCTAAACAAAAACTTTCGATGAGGTTGAAGGTGAAAAAGCTTTTCAACTAGTTTTCAGTGTCCATGGAACTTTTTTCTATTTGTCTTGTTATCTCTGAGCCAGAATGTCCCAGGATGGTTCATTTACACCACTGAACTACGTTATTTAGCCTTCCTACAGGTTTAATCATAGGGTCAGTTTATTTTGGAAAGAAGGCCACTAAAAGGGTCCCCAGAAAAAAAAAACCCTGTAAAGGATCACTTCCACTGTCCCCTTTTCACAGCTGTGGTCACTGTAAGTGGAAGTCAAGGTTCCACCAGGTGGTGTGTTCTGTAAATCATCTGCCCACTGAGTCCCAGCAGATGAATGACACTTCAGAAGAACAGTGAGGGGCAGGTAAAGGAACAGTGGTCTGGTAAACAAAGCAAAGGCTTTAGAGCCCTCTGACTGGCTCTGCATGCAGTGCATGACGACAGAACGTGGCTGCAGGAGTGTTTCCACAACAGGCACTGAATACACACACAAAGTTAACTCAGTCAAGTCAGGATGAAAACGCAACAGGTTCTTACTTTGACTGTTTGTTGTAGGTCTGCTCTTTCTGGCAGGAGAGCTGTGCCTGTGTTTGTACTGGGCTCAAAAACAGACTGGAGGGAGGCAGATAAAATAATAATTATAAATCCTGAGAGCTGTGTGGATGATACACTACGCATCCATGTCAAATCACAAACTTACGTAAACACCACTATCCTCATTCTTAAATCCTTAAATGCACTCTGAACAACACAGTTAACAATAGCCTCTTATCACCCAGCTGTGGTAAATTCTGATTGGTCAGAACCCCATAACAACAGTCACTGATCCTACAAGCAGTCCGCAGAAAAGAGTCCAACACTGTTCACATCTGCCTGTTAACACTGTGGCAAAAATGTTAGTTTTAGAGAGAGAAATCAGGACAGAAACATCACCAAAGAAGTCTGTGTCACCTTGTGGAACCTTTATTAGGAATTTTCAGTTCAACATGAATCAACCTCAGTCAATGTGTGCGAATATTCATAACTTGCAGTGAACTGAAAATTTTCTGTTTGATGTTAGTCTGTTCATGAATATTACTTATAATAAATTACTAGGGAAGCCAGACTAATGAGGGGATCAGAAGGACTTTTTTAGTAGTGTTATAAGGTCATTTTTAAATCTGTGAAATAGTCCTTAAATCAGTTGTGTCAGTTTCTAGATGGTAAATAAAATGAAAAGTAAGCACACAGATATGCAAAATGTGTAAAACAAAATTACTCTGCTCATCCTGTCAGGATTCTAATATGCATAACCACCACACGCAGTCTCACACACTTTTCAAACATGTTCTGCATTAAGAGATTAACTGAAAGGCCTTCTCTGAATGCACAGCCAAGACTTTTCCATATTCTATTAAGCTGTTCCTGTTCAAACAAGGCCCACAGCTATGAAATGCAAATAGCAACAACAGTATAACACTTAAGAAACAAGGTAAGAAGGGTGTTACATAATAACCATACACCAGAAAAACTGTAAAGAAAAGAGTTCATGGTCCAATTTTTGAAAATCATCCCTCATCCACTAGAAAGTGTTTTCACATCAGCTTTGGATCCGGTGACTTGGAGTACTCCGATATGTTTGAGGACATGAGTCTACAGTGAGTAACCATCTGACTCTAGGATTTCAATCTGCTTCACAGCACATTGTGACATCGTTCAGTTCAGCTCACAGGCTTGAAAAGTTAGTTTCAGATTATTTATTCTGATGTCCAGCTGCAACAGACGTGTTTGGTGAAAAACTGTGATAAGAGGGTAAAAGCCTCAAACATTCCTGCAAGAGCCTGAGGATGAAACCACAGTAAGTCACGACTCAAATGAAGGGGGTGAGCTGAGATTAGGAGAGCAGGTAAGGTAGCAAATAGCTTATCTCATCAAGGTAGATTTCAGCTAACCTGGACTGACTCAGCCATTAACACTGCCATGGCTCAGCTCTGTGCTGCATTATCTCCTCAAACCTAATGCTGACCTGAGGATATTCCTCCTCAGAGACACAATGTTACTGTTCTCAGTGTCGGTGTGCAGGCTTCAGATGATCGCCTCCTTGCTAATGAATAATAAGAGCAACAGAAAAAAGTTCTCTGTCTCCTCAACCACCTGTGAGAGCTCTAATCTGGCTGAAGCTCTTTTCAGGAATAGACAAGCAACAAACCCGCCCCAACTTTGTAGAGTGACAACAACAACCTGCTGCTCTGAATGATCACACAGGGCAGAAACAGCTGTCTGCGAGATTTGCTCCCATTTTTTCTTGTCCTCAAACCTATAATTAGTTATTGCATTTACCATCAACAGTTTGATTCAGAATCAGAATCAGAATGCCCTTTATTGTCATTATACACAAGGTACAACGAGGTTGGATGGCTTCTCCATTTTCACTGAAATAGACACACACACACAAAAAAAGAAAATACAGAGACAGAATTAAAAGTACAAATATAGTTGAAAGAAAAAAAAAAGAATAGGTACAGACTATATAAAAGTTAAAATCCTCTAGTGCAGAGAAGAAAGTGCAATGAAAATGAAAACTATATACAAGCATAGGAAAGGATATATATATATATATATATTTATATATATATATATTTTTTTTTTTTTTTTTTTATTTATTTTTTTTGTATTAGGAGCTTTAAATTGTAGAATCCATTAATTTTTTTTTTTTTCTGTGAAAAGCACTACAAGCATTAAAAAACTGATTTACAGCCTCATGTTTACCCTAGAGCTTCAGCAAGAGAAAGAACAGATGAAAGAAAGAAAGAGAGGGAGCAAGTAGTGATTGATCAACACAAACAGTGTAGAGAGAACTACTACAGAATGAAGAGCAGTATTACTGAGAGATCATAGTGACAAATGTCAGTGAACAACATACACTGCAATGTCTCCAGCAGCTGAGAATAACAGACTTCCAGCCAAACGTTCTTTTCCATCAGCCGCATTGTTAACACTTGATCACACCTTTGCATGAAAAAGAAAGTGAAAGGAAGCGGAGGAGATGCAGGGGAAAACGCGGTGGACTGTGGCTAAAATTAGTGTATGCCATGCTGTTTCTCCTGCTTTAGTTCTTCACTATTTTGCAGATTACAAATCAAATCCTTGGTGTTTGGCCCATGGGTGTCCACCTGCTTCTGCATACACATGGCTGGTATCTGTCACAGGATGCCTGCGGCAGATTCAGACGCCTTGCCTAGTCTTCCAAAGATGCGGAATGAATCACCACAATTACAGGATTGCGCTGGAGAATGCCAGATCTCTGGTAAACAAAGCTTTTATTTTGAAAGATTTCTTCCCTCCCTTTGGATTGGATTTTATGTGTGTAACGGAAACCTGGCTTGGAATCATAAGAATAAGAATAAGAAGAACTTTATTAATCCCCTAAGGAAAATTCAATACTAAATATAAAAATAATAATCATAAATTCGGTAATAACAATAATAATAATAATAAATTCAGTCAGTCAAGCTCTTTTTACTGAACTTTTGCCGGATGACGGCACTAACTTTAACTCTCCAAGGGCTACTGGACATGAAGGAGGAGTAGTGAATATTTTTATAAACAGTTTCACTGCTGGCAGCTATCTCCAGGCTCTTTCTCCAGCATCAACCTAACCTGGTTCTGTGTGCCGTGTTTTCCCTTCCACCTAAATATAACAAGGATTTTGTTTGTGACTTTTCTGACTTTTCAGCTGGAATCATGACAAATTATAACAGGGTTTTAATTGTTGGTGATTTTAACATTCATGTCTGTTGTCTGACCAAGCCGCTGTCTTAAGACTTCCTGGATCTTATCGACTTTTTTAATCTTGAGCAGTATCAAGTCCCACACAGCAACAGGGACACACTCTGGACCTAGTTTTGTCTTGTGGTTCACTTTTTTTTAATATTGAAGTGTGTAATGTAGTTTTCTCTGATCACTGTCCTGGGGTTTTTGAAATTTATACCTTCTGTCAAAAACCTGTGTCTTTTGCGTTGCACTGCTGCTCAGCTTGCTGCTGCTTTTAATGATGCTGGTGTATCTCACACTGAGAACCCTCTCTGTCTCCAAACGGAGGAGTTGACCTCCCTTTTTATCTCTTCCTGTAAAAGCACTTTAGTTTCTGTTGTTCCATTTAAAATGAGGAGGTGTAAACCTAAAAATGAACCCTCGCTTAATGACAGAAATCGTGCTGCCAGAAAAGTGTGCAGGAGGTCTGAGAGAAAGTTGAAGAAAGACAAACTCCAAGTATCTTATGAAATGTTCCAGCAGAGCCTAAACAGATAAACAGAACAGCGGTCACAGTACTTCTCTGGTGTCATTTTAAGTAGTTGTCACAACCCCTGTGTACTCTTAAATACCATCAATTCAGCTTTAAATGCTCTACAACCCTGATGTCTCCTTGGAAACGTGACAGGTCTCTGAACTTTTTCCTGGATAAAATTAACTCCATTAGGACACAAATCTCTCTCCCTCTATAAGACCCCTCTGCTGTTTTTGACCAGTTTGAGCCAGTGTCACTCCTCTCCCTCAAAAAGAAAATGAATCCCCTTAAACCCACTACCTGCCCCTCAGATATTGTCCTTCCTTGCCTTTTACAAGAACTTCTTTTGACCATGAGTCTCAATATTCAGGCCATTATTAACAGCAGCCTTGTATCTAGTGTTGTCCCCTCTCATTTTTAACATGCTGTGGTGGACACTTCAATTTCAGATCAATCTCTAAACTCCTCTTCCTCTCTACGGCTATGTTCACACTGCAGGTTATGATGCACAATTCGGGTTTTTTGTTAAATCCAATCTTTTTGTGCGGTCGTTCACATTACAACAACAAATGCGGCATCTAATGTGAGCGGAATGCATACGTGAAGTGTCCACATTTTATCTTCAGTGGACTAACCTGTGACAACCTGTACTCTAATACAGGGGTGAAAGTCGGATGAGGTTCTTACTGTACCTGTAGGCTTTGTACAAGAGGAGAACACCCAAGTTTGACAAGGTGCCGACTAAGGATCATTTGAACAATAAAGAAAGTTGCACACTCTTATCTCCTCTGCTGTTTTATTACCTTTCCGTTTCAGATACTGTACCCCTGAAATAAACTTTGCAACAACATACACAAAATTCAACATCGAGGCATACTGCTGCAGTGTTCTAGCTGTGAGTTGCACAGACGCAAGCTAACAGCATACGGTACAGGTGCTCCTCAACAAATAAGAATAAATATATTCTCGTTTATTGAGATGGGATACTTGAATACATTGTGCAACAGAAGCCTGCAGATGACTTTGAAATTAAAATATTTTAGTCCACTGAACCCACAGCGGCTGCATTGCTGTGGGTTGCAATTCACTCTCTATCTCTCTTCACTTTCTGTGTGGCTTCGTCTCATATGCTCCGTCCTCTTAATTGTTAAGCGGCTTCTTCTTCGTTGATGTTCGGCGGCTATTTTTTCCGGTCGGCGGACTCCGCCATCGAAACTTGGAATCGAAATTTTAATATTTGAACGATACCGGAAGAATCGAAATGTTAGTCCTGTCCCCATCAATACTCAATTCTCGATACCCAACCCTAATAACCAAAGAAGCTGCTTCCACTCCTCATGCTTTTACAGGAGACTAATAGTGGGTATGGATTTTCCCAATTGAATCAGTTTAATGTGCATTTTCAGTCAGACCAACAAACCTAAAGGTAACAGAACCCACACAAAACTGTGTGTAACTCTACACAGCTAAATAGAGTCTGTGGATAAACTTCCCGTTTGTCCAATTGGCTTGCTGGATGCACCTAACACTAGCAGAGCTAGCACCAGCACCCAACAGTCCTCCTTAAAAGTATTATAATTGTGTTTTACTTTGCTAGCATTAGATTTGTACTTTTTCACTGAACTCAAACAATTTAATGAGTGTTTTCATTTACCCACATGTTGTTTTCATTTAATCAGAACAATGTGACATCTAGCTTAATAAGGAGGAACCTGATGAGCCATTGTTTTGCCTGGCAGTTTTGCTACAGTAGTTACACGCCTCAAGGTCAACAACCATAGACTGTATATACTATAGACAACCTGGTTCCGCCTTCCGCCTGTATACAGATTTAAAGCCAAAAAGCTCTCGGTAATTCCGGGTTTTTCTCCACTTCCTTGAAACCAGCACTGCGCAGTAGCGATGCGCTCATTCGGCCGCGCAGTCGCCGAGAGTCCCTGTGATGACACTCGGCTCAAACAGCGTATCCCCCCGGGTGTGCTACGCAATCCCTGAACGCTCATAGGCTGTACCAGGTGTCAATCATAGAAAACATGAACCCCCTAATAGCTATTAAAAACGGAGCTGCACAGAAAAAAGAGGACTCGAGCAAAAATTTATATTCTGTGTAATGAATTTCTAAAGTTTGTCCACAGTCCCATAAGGTTTGCTGGCGGAGGCGGGATTTATGACCTGTACTGCAGCCCACCATCAGAGGGTGCTGTTTTCGGAGTGGCTTCACCCAGCAAGGGGGCAGACTCTGTCCATTCTTTATACAGTCTATGTCAACAACTCACACACATTATTCATAGCACATTTTAGCAGGACCACATGAACAGTGGTTGGCCTGTTTAGGCTGGAGATAACTGGCCAATGATACTCAGTTGCATATTAAGTCCAACCTCTGTCCAGGGCAATCCCTGCCCAAGAAGATAAATGTGAATGATACCCGGAGATGGGCACTTGTGATGGAGATCCTAGGAGCTCTGTCATTGTGAATCCAGCGCTGTATTACCCTACCTGTCATCATAATAAAAGGTTTATCTGAAACCTGAAGACTTCTCTGGTTGTCTTTAAGTAGTCAATTAGAGAACTGATTCTTACACAGGTTAATGAAATCCTACACATTTGAAGTAGAACTGCCACAACACTTACTTTTCCATACATCCTCTGCATTGAAATAAAGCAATACAGTCTCTAAGGGGCACCACTCAGAGTCAAATGTTACTCCAAAGAACAAGAATAAACAAACAATAAACCTGCTAATAATGGAAGAGCGATTCATGATGCATCTGTTCAGAAAGATGCTAAATCAGAGGAAGTTTTGCAGACTAATTTATTGTTATTGTTTAGTTGCTGCATATGTTCAATTAAAAAAAAAAAATTTGTTCCTTTAAGTTCAGTATGGAGGTGTTGTTTGTTGCACAGACATGTTGCTGGAGAATCCATTGCTTTGTGTATTTCTAAATTTGATTTATTAAACCTCTGACCCAGCTGTAACTTATTTTTGCAGGTAAACAGCTGAGGTCCTTATATCTCACTTGTCTGTCTGGAGCCTGTCTGGAGTTTATTTTGCATCCATTTAGTTAAAACCCAGACTACTAAGCTGAAATCACACACTGTAACAGGAAACCATCTCAATTCAGCACAGTGACAACAGTGAGCTTACAGGTGCAACCTGGCAGAGTTCCATACCACTCAAATCATAATGGTTTTAGACTTTGGACCATGACTTTATCTTCCTGTGCTCACAGGCTACGTTCAGTCAACGAATCACCCAATTTACAGAATAGACCAGATAAATAGCATACCATTGGACAGTACACTTAAAATATCATGATTTATAAACGGGTTCATTCTACAAACGTGTCAAAGAAACATAGCCACAACACTCTCGTCTCCTGGTCCTAGAAGCCGTGAACTGAACTGAAACCTGAATCGTTCAACTGTGTATCAGTTCAGGAAGTCGAAGGCTACACCCACCAAGCACTGAATGAGTCAGTAAACAAATCTTTTTAGTGAACTGATTTTAGTAATTCATTACATCTAAAAGAACTGTTGTGCCCATCACTATTTCTTCTGTGTTACCTAAATAATGACAGCATTCCAGAAGAGTTTCTGGACTATATTCCTGCAAATGGCTTGGATGAAGAGTCTTTACTCAAGTCAGTTTAACAGACATCTGCCGAGTGTAACATAGACAAACATGCAGGCACTACACAGTGCTATGATGGGGCATCTGTCATATCTGGGTGCAACAATGGTGTCCACGAAAAATTTTGCCAAGAAGTGCCACATGCGCTGTACATCCATTGCTAATGCACACAGACTAAACTTGGTTTTAATTGACTGTGTACATAATGTGAAACCAGTTGCAGAATGCTTTGCAACAGTCAAGATGCTGTACAACTTCTTTTCTGGGACAGTGACTAAAAAGGTGTTCATGGAGAAGCAGGAAGAACTTGGGCCCACCAAATGTGTAGTGGAACTAAAAGGACTATTGGATACCAGATGGGCCTGCCAATATTCTTCAGTGCGGGTAATTACAAGAACTCTCCCTGCTATCTTAGCAACTCTTGTGGATGTGAGCAATTAGATGAATGCTCATAGAGCTACTTTTTCTTCTGAAAGCAGCCATGTTCTGAAAGGAGCAGCAGCCCTTAACCCCAAACACAAGACATTCATGGACAAAGATATCCTTTTGCCCGTGGCTGAAGATTATGGAATACTGGAAGAAAACCTCTAAGCAGAATTTCACCAGGCAAAAAGACTTATTGATAGGAAGATACAAAAGGGGGACATCGTCAGCACCACCCATGATGTGCTGGTGCTATTGAGGCCATACAAAGAAGTATTTGTTGACCTTTTCAAGCTTGTGCGCATCTCAGTTACACTGGCTACACATCAGCTGCATGTGAGAGGAGCTTTTCCTGCTTACGGCATTTAAAAACCTACCTGAGGAACAGAAGTGGAGATGCCTGAACCAGAAATCTGGGTGTACTGGCAATCACAGCTCAAGTTGGGCCAAAGAACTGGACATCGATGCAGTGATTAACTGCTTTGCATCCAAACGTAACAACAGGCGGATTGTTCTCTTGTGACCAGTGAGTACATCATCCTTTTTTGACAGGTTTGAATCAAGCTACGCATTGGTTGTCTAATATTATGTCAGTTGTACCTTTAGTATCTAGCCTGTGTGTGTGTGTGTGTGTGTGTGTGTGTGTGTGTGTGTGTGTGTGTGTGTGTGTGTGGAGAGGAAAAGAGAAAAGGCAGGAGTGTCAGAATTCACTAGCACCTCCTACAAACTATCGGCAAAGCCGTGCGGTTATAATGACATACACAAACTGGGGGACATTACGGACGCCAGACAGCATTAGTCACGAGAGATAACTATAACATTCCACTTTTCAAAATATTGGGAATTCAACGAAAGAGCTCCAAGTAATGACGAGACAGCGGAGACATAGCCGTCAGATAAGCTAACTCACCTAGCAATGTAACATAACACACTATCAAAGTAAAAAGACAAACATAAAGACATATTTGTAACCAACCATTCAGAAACAGACTTTGGCGTCAGAGGAGCTTACCCACCTAGCAGTGTAACATAACACACTGAGTAAAAACACATAATATTTGTGACCCACTGTTCAGAAACATCCTGTTGCAGCCGCAGAGTTTGGCAAATTGGTAGGGTTGAACCCATAGACTGTATATAAGATGGACAACCTGGTTCCGCCTTCCGCCTGTATACGGATTTGAAGCCAAAAAGCTCTCGGTAATTCTGGGTTTTTCTCCACTTCCTTGAAACCAGAGCTGCGCAGTAGCGATGCGCGCATTCGGCCGCGCAGTCGCGGAGAGTCCCTGTGATAACGCTCGGCTCAAACAGCGTATCCCCCCGGGAGAGCTACGCAATCCCTAAACGCCCATAGGCTGTACCAGGTGTCAATCATAGAAAACACGAACCCTGTAATAACTTTTAAAAACGGAGCTGTACAGAAAAAAAAGGACTTGGGCACAAACCAGTCTGACAATAACTACAAGTCAACATCACAACCAGGGGGGAGAAAAATGTATGCTCTGTGTAAAAAATTTCTAAAGTTTGTCCACAGTCCCATAAGCTTTGCTGGCGGAGGCGGGATTTATGACCTGTACTGCAGCCCACCATCAGAGAGTGCCGTTCTCGGAGTGGCTTCACCCAGCAAGGAGGCAGACTCTGTCCATCTTATATACAGTCTATGGTTGAACCACAGAGCTTCTATAAGCCATCACACTGCACAGGCTGTAAACATTAGCGTACGGTATTGGAGCGAAAGCCACAGCCCCTTCCAGAGAGGGGCGTGATTACACACAGCTCATTATCATTTAAAGGCACAGGCGCAGAATCAGCCTGTTCTCAGTGGAGCTCAAAAAGAGGGGAGTACAGGCTGGCTGATATCCACAAATAAACTGGTGTTTTGGACAACAAACTTCAAATTTACTAGTGAGGGACCTCTGGGACTGATTAAAACTTGATTAAAATGCCCTAATAGGGACCTTCAAATTGTCAAATACAGCCTCTAATCACTAAGTCAGCATGTGCATATACTTCCAACGTCATTCTGACGCCATAGTCTGCCATCTCATTGCTGTGCCATTAAAGTCAAGTGACCTGGTGTTGGCTTTGAGGGGATGCATAGTATTGATAGAAAACCACCCAAAAGAGTATTTTTTATAAGAGGGGAACTTTAAACAGGAATGTAACATTGACCCAAATTGTTTGTAGTGATGATAAATGTGATTCCTGCAGACAGAATGGTAAATGATATTTATCAGTGTATGCACACATTAGTGGTACGTTGGTCGCGAACGAACCAGTTCAAAGAGCCATTTTTTTGTTGTTGTCTTTTTTTCCCTCTTTTAGCCCCCCACAGACTGTAGTAAAAAACTACAAGGCAGAATGACTAGATGACGGCTGCTCCATGCGTACAGTGCATGATTGTCATGTGTATGCTGTGTGCAACCAATCACGCAGCATACACCAAGCAGAGGGGTGCAGGAGTGCGCCATGTGCTTGTGCTCACACAGATGCACTCAGGATAGCTGCAGAAACTTACTGATGTTGGAAAACATAACTTTTACTTGTGAATACTTCAGTACAAAGGTGTTTTGAATTTTTAGAGAGGTATGTATACACAAATGTACATATCATAAGCAAAACAACACTAAAGTTGGCTGAATAAGATAACGTATCAATGGTAAAATGAAGAGCCATTTTGGAGCCGAAAGAGCTGGCTCTTCTTGGTGAGCTGAGCCGAATGATCTGGCTCACTAAAAAGAGCCGTAATTCCCATCACTAGCACACATACTTTGTACCACCCCTACATGCTTGGGTGCAACAGTTGGGCCACCCCAGTCACAAAATCTGGAAACGCCCATGCTTCTCACCTCCGAACAGATGAGGCGAAAGGTGTGCTGGTAGCGATCCAATCATCAGCCGGGGACCTTCCTCCCCTCCACCTGCTCGCTCCCTTTCTGCCGCCTCTTCCGGGCTGCTGCCGCCGGACTCCGGGGAGCTGTAGGCTCCGCTGCTGTTCGGAATGTTAATACCAGACGGAGGTCTGGTACCGGAGCCCCCCACAGACCTGGCTCTCGCTCCGAGGTGCTGGCTGGTGCTGGCTCCAGAGGCTCCGGACGCACCGTACGCATGATACCTCACACCTCCGGCGGTAGTCCTGCTAACGTTACTGCCGTTGCTGCTGACCGTGCTGGAGGGCAGGTCCGAGCCGGAGTAGGCTCTGGTTCGTCCGTTAGCAGCTGGGTTAGCAGTCGGGCTGCTCTGCTTTGCCCCCATGTTAACCTTCCCTGACTCGGCTTGAAATATTAAAGAGGCGTTCTATGAGCCACTGCGGGACAGTGCGCCAGATTTACACCTGGGGCATACGCTTCCCAGGACACAAGACAGGGGAAAGACCGGCAGAAACAGAACTCTGCGTCAGAACTGTCCCAGCGACATTACCCAAGAGTCACAGACTGAAAAGTTCAAGCGGCCGTCCATGACATGAGCTGAAGGTGAGTGTGAAAGTTTAGGGGCCGTTAACATTATAATCCGTCAGTAACAGTTGTGCTCGTGCTGCAGGTCCCGACCTCCACTGAGCCGCTGTCCTCCGGGCTCCGGTCCTCTTCACAGTCTGCTCCGCCATGGCTCCTGATCGGCATGAAAGGGTGAAGAGCCCGGCTCCTCACACCTCCCTGCCTGGTGACACATTGCTTAACAGAAGGAAGTGATGGAGGAGAAAAGCTCGGCACAAAACCATTTAATCAGCGGCAGTAAAGAGACTGCACAGGCTAGCTGACAAGCTAGCTCAACTGAAGGGTGTTTCCGTTTAGGATTTTCAAAATAAAGTTAGAAACGAAGCCGCGGGTCTTATCCCACTGCTGGGATTGTTTGTGGCCATAGACAGGATATAGAATGGACGCCGTCTGCCTCCTCGCTGGGTGAAGCCACTCCGAGAACAGCACCCTCTGTTGATGGGCTGCAGTATAGGTCATAAATCCTGCCTTCACCAGCAAAGCTTATGGGGCTGTGGACAAACTTTAGAAATTTATTACACAGAACATAAATTTTTCTCCCCCCTGCTTGCGATGTTGACATGTAGTTATTGTAACACTGGTTTGTGCTCAAGTCCTCTTTTTTCTGTGGAGCTCCGTTTTTAAATTATTTGGGGGTTCATGTTTGTTATGATTGACACCTGATACAGCCTATGGGCGTTCAGTGATTGAATATCTCTTCTGGGGGAAACGCTGTTTGAGCCGTGCGTCATCACGAGCTGCGTTTCCATTACGCATAGATTTGCGCAAAACCTAAATATCGCAATAGGAAACTGGTAATGGAAACACCTAAATTTCGAAAAACCTCTCAAATATCGCTAAAAAGTTTTTTCGCTCTCATGAGGTGGTTTTTCAGATGTGTCGATATAGAAGTATATCTCAAAAGTGTAATGGAAACACTATTCTCGCAATTGTAAAAATAGTGTGTATGTGTGTGTTTGAACAATAAAGCCAATGAAAGAAAAAAAGGATTTTAAAACAAACAGCAGATAAAAAAAGATACATGATTCCTATAGCAATATTTTCTGACACAGAAACAAAAGCAGGGCCTACAGGCTTAAAACACTTCGAAAAGTACATTTAACATAAAACATAATATATATGGTTGCTTGGTGACTGTTTTCTACAGTTTGATAATCAGCTTGAATACCCTTCACTTGTTGCTGGCTTGACATCATGGAGCAAATTATGACTGTAAATTTATGTATGAATAATATGACATTTTATATCTTGATATTGGCCCTTATATCACGTACCTGCACCAATGGCAAAATGCGTTTCAGTGCCATTTCAGACCGGAAATGCTTCTGCTGCATGTTGGCCAATCTTGATGGTGCTGGAGAGCTCTGCCTTAGTTCTGACCTAGGCTGCCACTATACAAGGGGTGGGTTTGTGATAATCTATTACATGTAAAGAGGTTGGGAACCACTGGTCTAAACAGTAGCTATCCCTTATCAAAGAAGTCACTTTTCTTTACAGTTATTTGAACTGAGTTCACCGATTTCACAGCTTTTATACTCAGTTCTGGAGCCTGAGCCCCTCTGGTGCTGTTCAGTGTTTCGGATCAGTTTAAGCAGTAACATCTCAACAACAATACTTGCTGTCCTAATCACTCTTAGCAGGAATAAAAAAGAAGTATATCAGTGTCTTTGAGAAGAAGAAAGGCAGAAGAAAGAAAGAAGGCATCACCCTTGAGATTTTGGCTTGAATAAGAAACAAAACTCTGATTTGAAGAGAATTCAGCTCACTGCAAAATAAATGGGAGTGCATCAGAGTAGTTTTATTTTATTTTATTTTATCTCATTTTATTTTATTTTATTTTATTCTCCCCTTTATCCTTTTTCTATTTTTTTTCTTAATTATAACATTTATTTAAGTTCTTAATATTACAATCTTTATTTTTATAACTGCATTTTGCACTACCTTTGTCTGTGATGCTGCTGTGGCAAAAAAAATTCCCACATGGGGGATCAATAAAGGAATATTCTATTCTATTCTATTCTATTCTATGACTACTCAGTCATAATGATAATAATGGTTGATACAGCCTGCTGTCTGACATGTTTACCGACTGCAATTTAGAGCTGAAGCCGGGCTCTTATTTTGAAGAGCAGTAGAGTTTATTTTGGTCGCCTGGTATTTATTTCTGGAAACTTGATCAGCTTTGGACTCCATGTCGCATGACGTCAGCAGCGGCGCAGGAACGTCAACAATAACCGAAGAGTGTCACGCTTCCCCTTCTCCATCAGAGCTCTGCACTAAAGCCCATCGTCCTCAGCTTCACACGCGTTTCTGATGCGTTGTTGTCTGAGTTCCTCCGGATACTTTAAAGTGTTACACAACCTTTACAGGGTTTTGTTATGCCTGTCCCGGCTGTTTTGAAATGTATTTCTGGCACAGGTTTAAAATACACTTTACATCAATCAATGACAATTTTCAGTTTCTATTTGTTGTCTTCTGCAGTATTTTCTTTCAACACATCTGAATTCTTACAGAATTGGATTATCTTTTAAATCCTTGCGGTTCGGAAACAGATTTTTAATTCTTCATAATTTAAAATATTCTGCTCTGTAGATTGACTTTGAGCAGGAAGTAAAAAAAACATGAAACGTTGGTCTAAGTTGTTTGTGGTGATGGTAAATGTGATTCCTCCAGACAGAAAAGTAAATGGTAGTCACAAGAGTGTGAGGCCAACTTTACATGCTTGCTGAGAAACAAAATACAGACATTTCTCAGTTTTAAATTAACATCAGATATTTTGAGCACTTTTTTGTTTTAGCCTTTTAAACCTCTTTTTAAACTCAACTGCATCCTTATATTTGATTTTGTCATGACGTGGTAACATTTAATAACAAATAAGACAAAAAATCACAATTGTTTGAGCTAGCCACTACAAACGGTAAAATTAAGACAAATTTAGAGGAAGATCTGTCCCCTCATACAGCTAACACAGCCACTATTCTGCAAGGGGACACTGTGCAGGATTTTCAAGCATTTACTTCAGAACTAGTTTATGCCTTAGTCTACTCATGAAATCAATCAAACAGTCAAACTTTATTTATATAAAGATGCCTCACAAAAACAGCTGGTGTTCACCATAATCTTTATGAAATTGACAAAGACCAACATAATGATAAGATCAAGAAAAAACTTCCCTTTATCAGGCAGAAACCTTGAGCAGAACCAGGCTCATATTGGACAGTCATCTGCCAACAACAACAGTACCTTCAGATGTTTGGTCACAATGACAGAGATAATGGAACAAGTATGTGAACTATTGACAGGAACAGCATGATAATGATAACAGACTGATCTTCTTCTTCGAGTCCGTAGTGATCTCAGATGTCGTTCTGCCAGTATCGGGCACAGGCCACAGCTGCTGGAGTAGGCTCTGCCAGGTCTTCTGGCCTGCACTGGGGGGCATCGGCACATTCCAGTAGATGGGACATTGTCTGCGTTGATTCACAGCTACACATGTCTTCTGTTGTGTAGTTCCACACTTTCATCAGTGCTTTGCACCTCCCCTGTTCCACATGCAGTCTATTAAGTGACTTCCAGGTAGTCCAGCCAAGGTTGTGACCGCTAGCGAGGCTTTCCGTTGGTGTTATTCCTCTAAACAAACCATTTGAGAGCTTGTGGGTCACAGCTCTTCCATTCATCTTCCCAGATGTTGGCCCTTGCTGCTTCTTTGGTTGTCTGGAGGGGCAGAACAGTCTGAACAAAACTAAATCTGGATCGGAGCCTGCGTGGGGTTGCTATGTGGCCATGTAACGGGTGTCTGACATCCATCTCCTGTGTTATCTGCTCATCTTGAGCGATACCCAATCGTCTGATGTGCGGGGGAGAGATGCCTGCTAGTGCATACAGGCACGGGATAGGTGTTGACTTGACACAGCCCGTGATGATGCGGCAGGCGTCGTTAAGGGCTGTGTCGACCAGTTTGGTGTGGCGTGATCGGCTCCAGCTTGAGCAGGCATACTCTGCTGTGGAGATGCACAGGACTATGGCAGTAGCACGGATTGTTGGTGTATCTGTGCCCCACTTGGAGTTCACTAGTTTGCGTAGGATGTTATTACGGGCGTTGACCTTGGCTTTAGTGTTCTCCAGGTGTTTCTTGTAGGAGAGTGTCCTGTCAAGTGTGACTCCAAGATACATGGGATGTGGATAGTTGGATAGTTTGTGGCCATCCCAGGTGATGCTCAGTTCTCTTTTCGCGTCACCAAGGATGGCCACAAACTATCCAACTATCCTGTTCTTCAGATGGAAGTTGCATAGTTGGGTTTTGGATGGGTTGGGTTATTGTGGTTGTGGTTATTGTTGTAGTAATTGGACATTTCTTGGAGGGCACTTTCAAGGACGGACTCAATCTTCTGGAAGTCTACTTGTTGGGTGGTGATGCAGACGTCATCTGTGTAGATGAAACGCTGGCATTCTGGGGGTACTGGCTGGTCATTTGTGTAAATATTGAAGAGGAGAGGGGCCATGTGGGAGGCCATTCTTTTGGGCTTTCCATTTGCTACTCTGGTTATTTAACTGGACATAGAATCGCCTGTTGTTAAGGAGGCTTTTGATGACTTGACAGAGATTCAGGTCACCAGTCATGTCCAGTAGTTTCCTGACCACTGTGCGGTGTTGGACAGTGTCATAGGCAGCAGTTAGGTCTATAAAAGCTGCTCCAGTTATTAGTTTCCCTTCAAACCCATCCTCAATGTGTTGGGTGAGGTTAAGTAGCTGTCTAGCACAGGAGTGGCCAAGGCGGAAACCAGCTTGGTCTTTGGTCAGCTTGGTGTCTATGAGAGGCATCAGGCGTTGGAGTAGCAGCCTCTCGTAGAGCTTGTACGTGATGCAAATGAGAGAAATGGGTCGGTAGCTCTTTGGGGATGAGGGGTCTTTGGCGGGTTTGGGGATTGCAACCACTTTGGCCTGTCTCCACACAGGTGGGATGGTTTTCTGCGCCATGCATGTGTTCAGCATCTTCAGGAGCCAGGTCTTTGCTTTGGGTCCCAGGTGCTGTAACATTTCTGCCAGAATATCATCAATCCCTGCTGTTTTTCTGGGTTTCAGCTTTCCCAGTGCAGTTTCGAGTTCTTCTATGTCGAAGGGTTTGGTGAGAGAGCTGGCTGGTTGTGGCTGGTCTGATACCACTGTGCGATGGTGTTCTCCTGTGGGTCGGCAGCGGATAAAAAAACCTCCCCGTGGTGCAGCCTGGGAAACGCTGGTGAAAGAAACATACATCCAAGAGGATGTAATCTGACATCGCCAGTAGGCCAATCTCTGTATAACCTCCTACACGACCAAACAGACTGATCAGAGTTTGATTTATGGAACATTTAAGTCATCTATAGGTCAACTATATGTTTATAGTAATAATGGTACTGACAGCATTCATATGAATGAAGCTGAGGTCAATAATGGAGGTTGAAATCAGAACAATTGAAGCGGATTGAAAAAGTTCTACTATGAACATTAGCTTTATGACAGTGGGAGAAATAGAGAGACTGATGCTCTTGTAGTTGAAGCAGCTGTAAAGCAGACAGGTCCTCAGCAGCAGGATGTCTGCAGCAGTGATCCAGAGGAACCTACAGGATGATAGAGCTCAGACTGTGAAAAGACTTTGTTAGGGACTCCATTGGGACATGATGATTCAAAGTTAATGGCACATACAGAAAGAGGATGAAGACGTAGGGAAATGAGCTCAGTGTACCAGTACCCCCAGCAGTCTCAACCTGTAGCAGCTATAAGCTTTGTCAAAGAGGAACTTTTTAGATTAGAATAACCTTATTAATTTGGATACATAAATGATCGATGATTGACTTGTCAGCTAGCCAACACCTCTGAAGCCTATTGGGCCTTTTGTATACTTGCTGGACAGCACAGGCTGTTAGTATCAGCAGGCTGACCTTATAAAAAGGGATTTGAGTTGTAAAACCTTTAAAAACATTTCTATTGTAGTTGAAAATGCTTAGTCATGTATTGTTTACCCTCAGAGACTGTTACTTCCATAGTCATATTTCAGAAAGCAAGTATTGTGAGTATTTAGATTGGATAAAAGGCAGTGGTGGGGCGTATATATATATATATATATATATATATATATATATATATATATATATATAAACACATGTTGACAACAGTTCTCATATGCCAACTGGAAAGACCAACACATGCTGTAATGATCTCCCTACTCTCCAGTAAATAATGACAGGTCAGGGCTCAGACAGAGGCAGGGTGTATTTACAGGAAACAACACAGACACTCACAGTTAGAAAGAGAGCTGTTCACTCTCATGACCAGAAACAAACACCTCAGACTCCTCCTTCTTAAAAGTGCTGTGCCTGCCTCCGAACACAGAATGACTGTCACCAGCAGAGCCATGGGGAAGGTGAGTGGTTTTATCACCCTGGACTGTGGTAATCCCTCTAATCTCCTAGCTCTGGAAATAGCGCAGGTTATCTATCGATCTTTGGCCACAACATCCATCACTGTCTACATAATGAAGGGGAAGACGCAACCACACAGCAAACCACAATCACATCAGCTTTAATGGCTTTGTTTGAATGACTGCTCAATGCCGTGATGTTATTTACAGGCTGATGGCAGGAATCCTTTAGGGCTGGAGGAGTTTCTGGACCAGCATCTAGACTGCTTTAACTGAAACACATAAAACAGCATTTCATTTGTGGTATTTACTGTTTACTCACCTTAAATTTTTGGATTCATTGAAAAATTCAGATTAGATCTAACAGAACTGCAATTTACTCATTTCTATCAGGCAGATAATACCACCCTGGTGGGCTTTTTAACTCTTCCTAAACGTAAATCTAATTCAATTCAGACCAAAAGTCAAGCCTCTGCTGATTGAATTTGGCATCATTCTGTGTAACTCTGAGGTCTGGATTGACTGTACCACAGGAAGTTTCAGTTATCAGGCCCCTCTCCTCTGGGATCATCTACCGGTCCAGGTCAAGGGGTTGAGACACCTCTCTACCTTTAAGAGTAGACTTGAAACATTCCTCTTTGACAAAGCTGATAGTTCCGGTCTAGTCAAGATCTTAGTTATGCTGCTACAGGTTTAGCTGCTGGAGATACTGGCACACTGAGCTCCTTCATTCTCCAGCTTCAATCTGTCTGTGTCATGAACTCTGAACCATCATGTCCCATCAGAGTCACTAAAACAGTCATTTCTAGGAGTCCCTAAGCTCAATCATGCCATAGGTTCCTTTGGATCATCGCTGCAGACATCCTGCAAACTCTGATCAGTGTGAGTCAGAATAGTTCACATACTTTTCCATTATCTCTGTCACTGTGACCAAACATCTGAAGGTACTGTTGTTGGTTGTTTCTGTCCATCTCTCTCTTTCTTCATCTCCCTCTATCAGTCTCTCATCTGTCCATCTCTCTCTTTCTTCACCTCTCTTTATCAGTCTCTCCTCTGTCAATCTCTCTCTTTCTTCACCTCTCTCTATCAGTCTGTCCTTTGTCCATCTCTCGCTTTCTTCACCCCCTCCTCTCTAAACCCAGCTCAGTCTCAGCAGATGTCTAACATCAGTCTGGTTCTGCTCTGGGTTTCTGCCTGTTAAAGGAAGTTCTTCCTCACCACTGTAACTTAATAAATGCTGATAAGCGTTTCTCTCATAAAAATGACAATGGACCAGAGTGGGTCTGATCTTACAGGGTGAACTCAGTCTTACCTCATCTTAATGTTGGTCTTTGTAAATATCATGAAGCATCTGGTCCAGACCAGCTCTTTTTGTTCAGCATCCTGAGATAACATTTGTTGTGAACTGGTAAACTGTAAGTACAGATTGAATGACGTAGCTTATTATGGAAATATGAAACCAGAATGTAATAAAAGCAAACAGGTTTTTTGGGGGGATTTGAGAGTTGGGTCAAAAAATGATCCAAATAAAGACAAAAACAACAACACTGTGCTTTATCAGCTCAGATATGTAACAGATTTTTGTTATTAAGTCCTATCATGTCAACATGAGAGTCTCACCTAAAGGTAGAGTGCCATCTCACAATTTTTTGGGTCTTAAAATAGAAAAATGTACACCTTCAGTCTTAAATCATTGGTGTCTTTATGCTTTGCCTTTGTGTATCATAATGCTGAGTAAGAATTTTTCATTCGAATTTATGGACAGAACTGCAGTTTTCCTGAGTGAGGCTGTAAATGTAAGAGCTCCCCTTGGTGACTGGCTGCAGTATTGGTCATAAAGCTCACCTCCTCATTATAACAGATTGCAGATACGTCCTAAAAATGTGTTTTTCTTGCATAACGTCAACCATTTTAGTCAGTTTTTATCGTCCTGATTTATGTTTTTTTTTCTTACAGTAATTCAGCTTGAAACATTGATTTCATATTAGAACATGTTTCTGACTAATTGCTTTGTAGAAGATGCAGCTCCTGCAGCTCCACTCCTTTGCCGGTCTCTATCAGAGGAGGAAACACTGGGAGAACACATAAAACACTAACACCAGAATCATTTCACTTCTGTATCTGTGAGTGTTTGTGCTTCAGAAAAACTCACATCTGTTTTGTTATTGACGACACTGACATGAGGGATCTTCAATGATTCATTAGTGATTAACTGTGTATTTTGGTCAGCAGGACAAGTGTGACATCAGTGCCTCTACAACCCTGTGACAGCTTCACTTCTCACAATAAGACAAGTCAGAGTAGGTGGTCTCCCCTAAACCCTTATCACTGAGATGGCTCTGTGATCTCAGCAGAAATGCATTTGAAGAAGTCAGGGGTGGATATTAAGTTCTGATTTACTCACTAAATATAAGTAATGTACAGCTTTTTTTCATTGAATTTCTGCTAAAATGGCAAGAGGCAAGGGATTTTTATTTTTTGGACTCCATTTCTGAGTTCTGATGTCTCAACAGCCAGTCACAGCAGGTTCAGTGTTGTATGAAGTACTAAACAAATATACTTGAGTTAAGGTATAGTTACCTTACCAGAAAATGACTCAAGTCAAAGTGAAAGTCTCCCCTGAGAATTCTGTGTTAATTTGGTCGGTTTTTATGGTCCCTGGTTGTGGAACAGCCTGCCGGAGAGCTTTAGGGCCGCAGAGACTGTTGGTATTTTTAAGAAGAGGCCCAAGACTCACTTTTTTAACCAGGCTTTTTACTAATTGCTATTTTAGATTTCTCTTATTGCAAATGTTAATTTTAATCATGTTCTTAATGTGTATTTTATGTCATTCTATTCATTATCTCTGTTCTTAGCCTTTTTAAATTTTAATTTCCCGTTAGTTTTAAAATTTTCCCTTTTATTTATTTGTTCATTTAATATGATTATTTTCTTATTTTAGTCCATCAGGTTTTACTCTTATCACCATTTTGATCTCTATTTTTATCCCTAGTGTTTCGTAAAGGTAGCTCTTTCCTCATGTAATGTCTCAGTGTCAGGCCATGTCTCTTTAACTTATATCATAAATTCTCACACTGCGTGTGGTTGTGTGTGTGCGTATATGTGGGTGAGTGAGGGTGTGTGTGTCTTTGTGTGTGTGTGTGGGTCCATGGGTGTGTGTGTGGGTGGAAGGGTTGGGTTTTTGTTTTTATTGTTGTTTTTAGCCTCTGTGAGGCACTTTGAATTGCATTTTCTCATGCACGAAAAGTGCCATATAAATAAAGCTGAATTGAATTGAATTGAATTAAGATTGTTTTCTCAATGGACTGAGTTTTGTCTCAAAAGCAGAGAAAAATTATTTGGATTTTGTGTCACTGGAACAGAAGTAACAGCCTTTGAATTCACACCTGGACAGAGTGTGCTCTCTCAGTTATAAACACTTGTTCCCAAAATTCATTTGAGTGGGACCTAACATGAGACCATGCAGTGGTTTCCTTTTTTATTTACGGTATCTTGATACATGTTTAAAATCATTGCACAAAAAAGTATTTTTTCTCTGTATGCACATACTGCAAGGAGAAATGGTTAGAATGCATATTTTTGTAGTTATCCTTATAGACATGCTGTTTTGATGTCAACCTGTATTCTAGTGGTTAAAGAATTTGGCAGCTGTCTGTTGATTCAAAATGTTGAATAAAAATGCAATGTTGATAAATGTTTAGTGTTCTGGTAATTTTATTATTGGATGCCTGTAACAGCAACAAACACAAGGATAATTAAATCAACAAGATTGATTTAGTTGATTCAACAAGATTGGCATGAGTACAACAGACTATACTTGCAGTAATTAATGAAACAAAGCGGGATTTTGTTTAAATTAAAATGTTTGAGCAATGTACACCAAATTCAATTTTATTTTGTAAGACTAAAAGAGTATAAACCTGTTTATTGCACACAAAGATATTAATTGGATGAACATTTTAGAATCATGTTGCACCTAAATATTCTTTGTTCAAATAACATCATAAAAACAGATTGAATGTACATGATTTGTTTAGATGGAATTTGGGTACCAAGATGAAATTATGTTCATCCAATAAAATAACTTTTTTGAGTGCATGTTGCACAGGTGCACATTTTATTGCTTGGTTTGTTTGGATGTCTCAGCAGCACCTGCGTCACAGCCGGATCTCCTCCTCAGAGCAGCTATGGTTCCACCGTGCCAGGTACTGAGCAGGACCATCAAGTGCAAGCGTGTGCCATCCACTTTCCATGCTGGATTGAGACCGACCATCATCACGGCAGAGATCCTGGAGAGCCCAACAAAACTACGTTGTATTAGTGACCACGCTGGACGCAACCAGCAACACACTCAAAGAAATGAATGACAATTTGAAGAAAAGCATTTGACCAAATTTGTTGTCCACCGTTTGTGTTTTCCTTTGGCCAATAGGCTATTCCTTGGCATCTTGTATTGAGCCGACATCACTGATTAGTTAAGAGCTCAACTTTACGGTTTTATTTTGAAAAACAAATAGTCTATGGTCTATATTTCTACTGTATGTCAAAATCAATAAATACTCCGCCATCCTGTCTTCACTGGTAAACTAACTGACATGTTGACTAGAAAGCATGTTCTGATGCTTAAAAATAGATATATATTCTAAAAAACAATAAATACTCACTCTGCAACCCTGTCTTTTCTCACTAGTAAACTAGCTGACATGTTTACTAGTGAACATGTGTAGCGATTTGAATTAATAATAAATGTCTTAAGATAAGTATTTGATAATAATCTTAATTTATGTCATTTAGGCACTTGTCAAAAGGGGCACCACCTACCTTGAATGGTGGGAAAATAAAGAAAAACAAAATTCTAATTCAGAAATATAACATTAAGTCAATCTCAAATTAATCAATCCCATATCTCAAGCTGGAATTCTCATTTCAGAAACTCCACTTCTGGAAGAACACTGACAAACAGGAACTTAGAAAAAAGAATTATTGGCTTATTACAGGATAAATGATGGTACAACATCCATGCAATAAATGAGGATAAGATGAATATAGATAATAACAGATGAATGAAAGTTTCTGAGTCAGGCTAACACTACTAGGGCTCTATTTTCATGCCTGCTGGTGGTGTGGCGGAGAGTGGCAGACCCTGCGCAGTGTTATTTTTGTCTGGCGGAGCCCGGCGTACAGCCAGTTTGGTACTTTTGTAGACTGAGGCGCACCGAGGTCCACCAAGCTGGGTGTGGTGGCATGTGAGGGGGAGGTGTCAACAGAGTCAGTTGATGCAGTGACATTTTTGTGCCCGCTTTTTGTGCCAAAAGGGCAAGGACAAAAGGGCAAGAGAGGAAAAGGCAAGAGAAAACAAGAGGCAAGAGAGTGAGCACCCCAACTTCATTGGTTTTATACTTTTCAAACTGGGAGTGTCTGTAAGGTGTGAGGAGAGAAAGAAGGGGGTCCTGATCTCCAGCTGCAGCTTCCTGAGAGGAGACTTTCAAGAGCCCTGATTGTTTGATCCAACTTATACTTTGGCTAGCGAAGGAGTCGGATCAAATATTCACTCACTATGATTAATGTTATTGAAATCTTGGTTCATAATAAATGATTTGATGCTAAACACATATAAAGAATTCTAGAACCACATTAACAAACATTCTCATTATGCTTTGAGTATCACTTTTCAAAGAACATTAATCATGTTAAATTACTCTGAAAAAGATAGTAACACATAGAAACTGTGAACATCACAAGGGTAAACATGTAAATGAACTTCATAACAGTTAATAATGGATTCTACAAACCAACATTCAGATTATTAACTAACAGTATAACTACCTAATGGTTAACAAAGCTAAAGAAATGATTAAGAGATAAACTAAACATTTCTACACTATTCCTACTAGAATAGGGTTACAATTCAAACATAATAAGTTTAGCTCTTAAAAGTTCATGAAACAGTTTGGAAAGCTGTTGATCACAAGGAACTTTGTGACTGAAGAATTTATTCTGTCAGTGTGAGATCTTGGCTTATGAACATGATAGGCAAATGGGACAAAGACTGTTTTACTGCAAATGTTGAGTACTGACAGAAGACCATGGTGTAGTGTCCATCCAACCTGTAACTGGACTAGTTGTAGTTTTTCTCTTTGGATTGTACTCAGGGAGAGCACGGAGAAGATCAACCAAATTGAGGATTTATGGCTAAGCTGATAAACCTGACGCTTCCCAGTCAAGGTGTGATGACAGATGTTTATCTGATCTAGTGGTCCTGCAGTTCTTTCCTGCTAAACAATGTCTTTGTCCCTTTGAAGTAGAAAGGACAGAAAGTTTGTGTTTTGGGAAGGCTGCCCTCTGTCGCCATCACGTGGCATTACTGTCTTCAGACATCTCTTGATCTCTTTGACTACTGCTTTTTAAAGGCGAGCAGAGGAGCTGATGTTATTGGTCAATACAGGTCTCGGCTGTGTTAAACCCACTCCACGCCCTCTCTCCTCCCTCCCAATGACTTACGCAGCTGGGAGGAGCTGAGTTAGGGAGGGGGGATACTTAAGCCGGGCTGTGCCACTAACCAAAATATCAAATTGTGCTTGGGAATGCCCTGTCGGCAGGCGGACCTGACTTAAGCCGCACCTGCGCCACATCATCAGCGAAGCACGAAAAAAAGAAAAGGACGGAGACGAGTTACATATCTTGTTAACTTCATCATGTGTGTCTATTTACTAGATATTTAATTTGGTGCGGTTACAGCTGTGTTGATTCGGTCAGGTTGAGTGTCCAAACGTGTGCCAAACGCGCTCATCAGATCAGATATAGAGCAGAATATATCTATATAGATCTAAATGTATGTGCTGACTCAGATTATTAGTTGTTGATTATTTATTGCACTGAAATGTATCTGACACTTTTGAAACCTGCCGGTGAGGCATCGGTAACGTATGCCGATACGCCGCCAGTCTACCAAAATACCGCTAGACCAGCTGCGCTCCGCTGCACTGAGAGCTGACCAGGTTTAAGTTGGCGAGCTTTCAGCGCACTTTATATGCCTGGCAGCGAGCATGAAAATGTCACTGCGGCAGCTGATTCTGTCGACACCTCCCTCTGCCACGCCACCATGCCCAGCCTGGCGAACCTCAGTGCACCCCAGTCCACGAAAATACCAAACTGGCTGTATGCAGGGCTCCACCAGATGAAAATACCACTGCGCGGGGTCCGCTGCCTCACCGGCATACACGAAAATAGAGCCCCTAATGTTAGGGAGAAAGGGTTTTTATAAAAAAATGTAACATCACATTGATATTCACAGAGTCAAAAGAGGCTGAAGAAGCAGCAGATAGGTGGAGGTTCCCGGCTGGGGTGCTTCCAAGGATGGGCTGGCTATTCCATCATCTGTAGTACTTGCAATGGGGGCACCGCTGTTCTACAGACAGGAATGTCCCCATCTTCCTGGTCTTCACATCACAAGCCCGTGTGCAGACAGGACACACAGCAAACAACCCCATAAGGCTGCCCTCAGAAAACTATGTAATTTTTTGTCTGGTGGCTGGGAGTGGATGCGTCATCTCTATGGAGAAAAGGAAAGATATGTTCTGTGCATCAGCCCCAAAAAATTCTTTCTTCATGCCTGAAAGAAACACACTCACAACACAGACATAGAGTTACTTACAACTTAAGTGTTGACACTGTCAAAGCTGTGACAGAGTCTGTGGGGTCATTGGTAGAGTCCAGACCCTTTGGTGCTGCTACTGAAGAGGTGCCCTCGAAAGGATCTTCCTCTTCCACCTCCTCCTCCTCCATATCAAGGCGAGGTCTCTTTGAGGATCGCTTTACTGGTGTGGATAAAAACTGGAAAGGAGCTTCAGTGGACCAAAATCCACGCAGGACACAGTAGCCTGGACACCTGTAAACTAAATTTTGATACAATAAAACTACCTATATTAAACATAAAGACAGTGAACGACTAGAGGAATTGAAAAGTATTATAACATGTAACTTATGACTGAGTTCATCCCAAGTAAATGTAGCCTCATGAAGGTGGTTGCATACCTGCACTTCTGTAAGAAGGCCCTAAAGTCTTCAAGGACAGCTGTGTGCCTGCAGAACGTGTCTCTTTGCCAGTCTAGCATACAACTTCTCCTGATGTGCTGGCCTGTAAGGAGCACACGGGGGTTAGAAACAACATCTTCTCAGAACAAATTTAATCATGTATCTGAGTGAGATTGAGCTCACAATCAACATATTGTGGCAGCCGGGGGCGGGGTTTATGGAGAATGGAATTTGGAAGAAGATGTAGTACAATACTGTAACCCCTATTTACCGATTCACCAATCAACTACTGATTACTGAATATGAATTGATTTTGTTGCTGACAACGCCACCCCAGGAATTTCACCTGGAGAGTAGAGTTACCCCTGAATATAAAGCTAGGGCATACACAGTTTCGTCTGCCAGTGAAGACGGGAGGCCGTGGTCCAGTGTACAAATACGTTTGAATTTTATTTGACAATTCTCACCAATAAACAAAGTTAATAAAACATTTTTTCACTCATTCATCCGCACTCATTCACACGCAAACACACACACTTCTCTTAACTATAGCAACAATGTTGCCTATAAAATTGATGTGCAAATAGCAAATTCTGGTTAAATCAGAAATAAACCACAAATACCAAAATAAAGAAAACTAGTAAGCAAAAAAAGAAAAATAACTCAAAATATTTAGAAATGACCAAACCAAACAAACATGCAAATAAACCAAATACTAATAACTAACAAAACAAAGTACTCAAACTGGAGAAACAAAACACAAAAACACTCAAATCACAAAATAATATCAAATGATTTAAACCATAATAGACTAAATGCCAACTAAATGAGGAAGCTGAGGCAACAGGTTACTAAAATAAAACTTAGTCCCAAGGGTGTTGACGTCACCTCACATGAAGCAGAACGCCATCAAATCAAAGTTAGATGGCGATAGTGACGGCCTTACCAAAGGCGATGAGACAGGAGTACAGTAGAGCAGGCAGCAGTGGTAGCGGAAACAACCACAGCAGCAGCACAGGAGCAAACCAGCAGCCCAGAAGCCGACAGCAGCACAGAAGCAGAACAGCAGCACAGCCGATAGCGGCCCGAGAGGAGGGAGGAGAGTTTAGGGCAGCCCGACCGGCTCACACACACGAAACCGTCAGAAAGTTGAATGAACCTCACGAGGGCGAGGGAACGAGGCACCCGAAGCGCCACAGAACTATCAACGGCCACTCAGCTGATCAACCCCAGCTGTGTAGGGATGCAGGAACACACACTCAAGAGCAGCGAGCTGAGCACACAGCACAATCCAGCAGCAAGGCGATCAGGTATGGTGACCAGGTGTTGTGATTACGGAGATTGACAGCTAAACAAGCGATCTTGAAGAATAAAACATCTATCAGAGCATTTTCCAAGTTATTCATTCCGTTGTTCTTAACTGCTCCAGAGACTTTACCGCTCCTCAGCGACTTTTGTCTTTTAAAACGACTGCCGTTGTGTTTGGCGACTCTGTTCTGTTACATACAAATAAACAAACACAATTATGATGTAGGCCAGAAAAATGAGCTTCCCCTCCTTGAAAGACCAGCAGCCGCCACTGCCTGGCTACTGGTATGTGAGAAGGGGGAGGGAGCGGTGTTTTCGAAGAGACAAAGAATCTAACAAATCAAACGTTATCCATGAGAAGCCAAAAACCTACCCTTATTTGTGAAAAGCCCTTTTTATGTCTGAATGCAGCCTGTCACCTAGATTTTGCAGTCACCAACAACTCTCAGGTTAGCCTCAAATGTTGTGGCTAACTCACCATCAGGTTGCAGAAATAGTCATTTGCAGCCTTTTACAAAGCTAAGTTTGAGCACCGCCAGGCCGAAAATGGAGCTTGTTTCTTACGACATATGTTCACACAGCTTCTCATCAATGTCCCCAGGTATTAGTTCAAGTTACTGTAGTGTTTTAAAGTAGTGTAAACTACGTTGCAGCTACCAACAGAACCCTATGTTAGCTGCTATGCTAAAACACATTGAAAGGCTAGAAAGGTAGGGTAAAAAGTAAAGAAAAATAAAAAT